GGTCGTGTTCACTTTCAATACCAAATCATGTACAGTGGAAATTAAAAAATAAAAACATGAACAGTACTGCGGTTTCTGCTTGGGAATGCTTGCACTGTGGTCTGCTCAGTGTGTTAAACATTGTGTTACAGGGAGAATAATGGCTGTTTATTAAGTATGATGTCTCCATTTCAGTATGCAGAGAGATATAAAAGGCCTTTGTTGATACAGATTCTCTCTGCGCCCCCCAGACTCTCCTTTCAACATAAATATATTTAACCAGCTATGTGAAGTATGTTCTAGTTGGCCCTTATCTGGCCCTTCACATACCTGCACCATCCAGATATGAAATATTTAATGTTCTTGCAGCTGCAGAGAGAGTTTCATGCAGATTGAAGTCACAGATGAGTTTTAAAGTTCATTTGTTTGCTCTACATTTGCTTCTTATGTAGTAACAAGCAATTGTAACCTGTCCCTGTAAACTGCATTTCTAACCCCAAGTGGAAAGAAACTGACAGCAAAGATTCAGACCACATGCCAGTATAGTCCGATTCTAGGGTAAAATGACCCAAGAGAGCCCTCCACTTTGTGCAGCTACCTGGGGAGATCTGAGATGCACAGTTGACTTTTCTTTTAAAGCAGAACTCTAGCAAACACCTACATTAATAGATTAATTACTTAGAAGAGACCTGCTTTCTCTGACAGATGATATGTATTTATGTCCATCTAGTCCTGCAATTTACACAGCAGTACCACACAGCACAGCTCTCTCTGGCAAGGCAGAAGATCTGATTTTTTTTCCCTACTCTATTTAAAGTGGTTGTAAGCCCTCATACTGTATATACCCAGTGAAGAGACTGGCTTCAAGTGATACACAGAGATAAAACAAATACAACAACATACGTTTTACCTGTTTATCTACAGCCATATTTTCCATACATTCATTCAAAGGCCAGACTTTACACAGGATCTCTCAGCTCTGAAAAGCAGTAGGCAGGGAGCTGAAGTTACACACAGTGAGGAGAGCTCTGAGAGTTGATTGGAAGGAAGGGACACACCCTCCTTCATACAGCTCACAGGAACAGAGTTGAGGCTTTCAATCACAGACTGTGCCCTCCCCTGTCACCATTTCTCTCTTGGTGTCAGGAAAATCTATCAAAAGTGATTCATGCTAATAGCAGAGGAACAAAGCAGCAGACAGAAATAACATTTAGTGCTCTGGATGGAGACAATTACACATTATAGAGAGATATGCTTTGTTCATATTTCATGTCTGAGGTTACAACCAGAAGTAACACTGGCAGGTCTTGTCCCTTCCCCAATGAAAAGGAGAAGCAGTACACTGAGGAACTCATTTCTCATTCTGCTCTCTTCTTTTATCAACATATTACATGTTGTGTGCTACATCTTCTCCCGAACTTATCTCTGTAGTATTATGTGTAAACTCTCCAGCGCCTCAAGGAAACCAATGCCAGGGGATGGCCAGGGGATCAGAAACATGAATAGCCTATGGATAATGTTCTGGAGATGCAGCCCTCCTCAGGTGGGGAAATCAACAAACTGGAAGAAAGCATACAGGTGGCACAAACACCTAGTGCATTATCCAAGGTTTGCGTATGTACTCTCTAGCGCCTCAGGATATGCACAGCCAAAAGGGAAGCCAAGGGTACCAGGACAGCGACAACCAAAGGAAATGCTTCAGGGGTGCAGCCCTCCTCAGACGGGGAAATCAGCCACTGGATAGAGAGAAAACAGGTGGCGCACACACCTAGTGCATTATCCAAGGTTTATTGTAGGAATTAAATCATAAAAACATACTCACAGACGAAGCATGTATGGAAAGTAAAGTAAGAGCCCTGCTGTTGATGCATCAACAGCAGGGCTCTTACTTTACTTACTTACTTACTCTTACTTTACTTTCCATTCATCGTGCATCAGCATCAGAGGTTGGTCATCAGCTCTGAGGAAAGGGATTTGTCCCCGAAACGCGTCAGCCATTTGACCGCACTGACAGTGAGAACACCTTGCCCGCCGTTGTGGCCATTGTCATTTTTCTATGCTTTTTAGATACATGCTTCGTCTGTGAGTATGTTTTTATGATTTAATTCCTACAATAAACCTTGGATAATGCACTAGGTGTGTGCGCCACCTGTTTTCTCATTATCCAAGGTTTATTAAAAGTGTAAAAGGACAAAAAATATACTCACAAACATAGCATGTGTGTAAAGCCTATAAGGCCTATAAGGCAGAGTGTCCAACTGATGGTGTGGTTGGCCTGTTGACGCGTTTTGAGGACAAAGCCGTTTCCACAGAGCTATAACGAACCGATATAGCTCTGAGGAAAGGGATAAAGCACTAGGTGTTTGCGCCACCTGTATGCTCTCTGCAGTATTGTGGGTTACCCCGGTACCAAGTAAAATTAGGCACTTATAATACAATAATACTTTAATACAGTTTAATTACTACAAAGCTACAATACAGCATGTTTATCTAGTACTCAGCTTGAACTGCATAAATTGGTTTAGGCCCCCAAAAAGTGATATTTAATTATAGACGCCGCCTCGTGTTTAGAGCCTGTTCTCACTGTTATTGTACTAGTCTACCTGGGACTTCCGGGTGTTCCTGCTCACCTTTGTGTGTTGTAGCTCCCCTTGTTATGTCGAAGTGACATCCAATGAATTAGCATTTCCAAGTGGAGGTCATCACTGGCAGTCTGTGCATTGTGTCTGCTCCAGTAGCACTACTAAACATTGTTTTCTTTTTGACACACCCCAGAAAAACCAAAACGGCTGCACCATAGGATATATAGCAATAGAATAAGTCCCTAGTGAAAGGTAAGGCTGCAAGTTGTGTGTGGGTGACACTTTATTCCTTCCTCCGTCACAGTCTGGAAATGGTACAGCCTGCGTCCCAGCTGGCCAGCTTTCTGGGACAGTTGTGCTGGCTCTGACACATTGCTGGAAACCCAAATTCCTTGTGAAAATAATTCTGCTGTTGTGTGTCATTCAGGCTGTGACTCAGTCCCGGGCATGCTGCCTAATTGAGAGCTCACTCTGGACCAAGTTTGTTTAATCAACATTTTGGAGAGCTCACAGGAGCTCGGAAAAACTGCTCCCCTCTGTTTTCACTGCTGGCTTCATCCTCAATGCTCTTCTCTTCTTGTGTGTGACATTAATGGAGGGAAGGGGCTGTAGTTTAATACGTGTGTCTGATCTAAAGAGAGCTGTTCAATTTCAGCCTTTGAAGGTCACACTGAGCCAAAACTTTGGCGATCACTATGCTTAGTGAACAATATTAACTGTTGCCTCAGAAACTCCTAAACTTGAACTTGATAGCCATGATGTACCTAATTAAACATGGTCAGATGTTCTCCTAATCTGCTCCCACTTATTTTTGTCAGGTTCAGTTGGCTGATATTTTTTCAACAACTTTTTCTTTTTTAATTTTCTCTTTTCAATAATGTTTATTGGTTATTAGAGTTAAGCTGCAACAGTTTACTCCATCCCGTTGCCTCCAATACTTCCCCTAGGGCTCGTTCCCATCTTTCCATGTAGGGCAATTTGGTGGGGTCCTCATGCAAGATAGTATATATCTTGGATATATGACCTGTATGTTTTTCTAGAGTTCTACAAATATACTCCATTGGACTTGAAGAAGTCAAGTGAATGGTGCATCTAAGAGTACTGAGGAGGTGGGTTATTTGAGAGAATCGATATAGCTCCTTAGTGGGAAGGTGATAGTTCTCCTGAAATAATTCCTTAGATATTGGGCCCTTGTGAATGCAGAAGTCTGCCAGACGGAGAAAACCTTTATTGGTCCACCACTCGAAAGCAGAGGGAACCCAGGGTTTCCTAATATATGGGCTAATGGATTATGGAGGGATTTATAGCCATGTTTTCTTGCTAATCTGTTCCATAAGTTAAGAGAGAAAGATATTATGGGACATAAAATTCCAGGTCTGTCCTTGGCTTTCAGCCACATCATATGGCTAATTGGAGAATTGGGAAGATGAGATGATTCCAATTGCATCCACAGGGGGTGGGTATGTTGGGAGTGAAAGCGTATCAATGGGGCTAATTGTTCTTCTTAAAAGTATTTAGCTAGGTCTGGGACTCCCAACCCTCCTTTCAATCTTGGGGTGAAAAGCACGTGTCTATTCACTCTGGGTCTCTTATCCCCACAAATTAATTTTAGTATCTTCTGTTGAAGAAAGCACAAGTCAGACATATTTATCATTATTGGCAGAGTACGAAATAAATACAGAATTCTAGGCAAAATATTAATTTTATAAAGTACAACCTACAGAACCAAGTGGGGGGGGGATCAAGGGCCCATTTGGAGAGATCATTATGTAGTTTCTTGTATAAAGGAGGGTAGTTCTTGAGATATAGAGTGGCAACGGAGGGGGTTACATGAATTCCTAGATAAGGAAGTGTTCGTGTATTAGGTAATTGTATTATCTTTTGCTTTATTTCATTTTGCATCCGTTAAACCATTAACTAAAGCAAATGTATCAACTTTTTTGCCCTCTCACCAGGTAGGAAAGTTGCATGCTGCTGCTGTGAAAGATCCCACTGTCTGCCAGCATTAGGCATATGATTCTAGAGAGGGCCCCCCCTCTTTATCACTCACCTGTCACTACAAGGTGTGGAGTCCTGGATGAAAATATAACTGGGGACTTAACTCTCCAAACCCCCCCCCCCCCCCCACACACACACACACATAAAGTGTTATGTTACATGGATCGTGGCCCATATGCATTGTGTATCAGGCTGGAGTTGTTGGAGGGGGATCAGCCAGCCATCTGTGAAGACATTCATGTGCCTTTATAAGAGAATTGTTATGCTGTATTTTCCTATATCAACAAATGAACATTATCTGTGCAATTCAGAATACTACATTTTTTACTGGTACTATTTGAATACATAACAGGCTGTAGATGAAATGAGCAAAGTTATAAGCACCCTTTATTTTCTTGTATGGTGGGACTCCACATCTCACTGTTCGTCTTTTTTATGTCTTTTTAGGGGGACATTCAGCAACTCCTTATCGTTCCGGACCATCGAGCTGCCTTTGATTATTGTGAACACTACAGTCCTGACTGTGACACTGCTGTCCCTGACACCCCCCAGTCTCAGGACCCCAACCAGGATGAGTATGTAAGTACCAGGGCACATCTATAACAGAGTGAAATGTGTGAGAAGTGGGGTTTACCATTTAGATCCTATACTAATGACATAGAAAAAGTAAACACCAGTATGTATATCATTCTTTGCAGTGTTAGCTACTTCAAAGTTGTTGTATTTTTTCCTAAAGATTTCATTGTTGACCACAAGTCCATTCCATTGACTTTGTGGGGTCCGTGTTGCATGAAATAGGGTTCTAGAATCTATGTCACAATACAGCATAGTTGATTTTCTAAAAGAGTAGATAATAATAATTTAGCTTAATGATACTGTGTTCACTTTTGAAAACCAAATTATGCACAAGGGAAATTTAAAAAAATGGAGTTTTGCTTAGGCATTATTGTATGATTAAAAGGAGCCGCTTTACTTTATTTACTCACCTTAGTGAGCATCACTTTGCAACATGAACATTGTCTACTCCTGTAGTGTGTCGACCCTTCAGCGTTATAAGGTATATTTATGATGAAGCAGGGTTGTTTACTGTTTGTTGCTCACTGTGTAATGTAGTGTCTGTGACATGTGTAGGGATATGGCTAATGTGGTTGGGATGTGAGGCCAGTAGTAGGTGGTGTATATTTTGTGGTCAGCAGCATATGACTGTTAGGATTATATACAGGCAGTTCCTGAGTTTACAAACATTACAACTTACATACGACTCATATTTAAGAACAGAGGCAACGTGACATCACACTGGTCCTGGAAACCGATGGGCAGCTATCTTGCTGCCCACCGCATGCTGCCACCTACTGTTCGGCGGACCTGTCAGCAATCCAACATCACTGCATGGACAGTTACCCCTTCCCTATGCTATCCAAAAGTAAAAAATATATTTTTTGGCCGACGTTACACTTAAAAAAATGTACCTGTTCGAACTTACTGTACAAGCTCCACTTGTTTGCCTTCTCCCCTCCCCCCCCCCTCCACTGCCATATTTGCTACTTTTTTGGTCAAGGGGGAGCGGATACCTGGTTTTGACAGGTACCCGCTCCCACTTCTGGCTCAGTTTGCACCAGTGAAGTGAGCCGGAAGTTCGGACCCCCTCTTTCCTCCCGCAGTCTTCTGGGACACTTCACAGGTCCCAGAAGACTGCCGGACCAATCACAATGTGCAGCACGACTCGCACATGTGCAGTGGGAACCCGGCTGTGAAGCTGAAAGCTCTCACAGCCTGCTGCCCACAGTTGATATGCCGGCACAGGGGAGAGAAGAGGGAGAGAAGGGATGGCGAAGGTAAGCACATCACTGGACCCTGGGACAGGTAAATGTGTGTTTATTAAAAGTCAGCAGCTGCTGACTTTTAATAAACACAAAAATAACTGGAACTACGCTTTAAGAACAACACTACATTACCTATCTGGTTAGTGGCCCAGAGTCTGCCTGTACCTTAAACTTAACATTACAGTTGAGGTTTATGGCTTATTTCGTAATATTGTAGAGTCTATGACATGCTGTAGTATCTGTTGATGATTATGCAAATCTCAAGACCTGTTGTATGTGTTTTAGGGTTGCATTGTATATGAAGCATAGAGTAGGTTCTAAAGCCAAAGGTGTAGAGTTGTAGGCTTTAAAAAGGTTACACATTCTTTTATTGCTGTAATGATGTTTTAGGATCTAGTTTGGCTGGAACTGTAATGTAATTTTGCTGGCTGGGATAGAAAGGTTTTAGAGGGTGGAATAATGTTTACAGCTTATATGTGGTTCTAAATTCCAAAGACAACACTATGGGGTTGCAAGGTTTTGGCAGGTTGATCATAGTGTACAGCAGGTGACACAGGTATTTTAGAGGTGCATGTATTGTTTTCAGACACTCTTTTTCATATTTAGCAATACCCTGAAGCCGCAGAAGGAGATGAAGGCTATTACTATGAATATCCATACTATGAAGAAGAAAACGATAAAGCTCCAACTGTTAAGCCCACACAAGCCACTGGTGAGGAGGCTGTAAGACCGCAGCCAGACTTTGAAGAGGTATGTTCCCCCCCATGTCACATTTAGGCAGCCTCATGCACATGGGACATTTTGCCAACTCTCCTAGAAGCCTTTCCTCCTGGCAGCAGTGTTTTAGCAGAAAAACGCCTAATGCTTGTAAAAGTGTGTAATGCATTTAGGTGCATCAAGCGCTTGAGGCTTAATTTATTTCATTGGCCAGTATAATAATTTATTCTGGCCAATGAAATTAATTAAAGCTCAAGTGCTAAATGCACCTAACATTAACACATGTTTAGGTGCATTTACACATGTTTACAGGTGTCAAGCATTTTTGCAGCCAAAATGCTGCTGCTCCTGGACACACTGGCAGTGTTTTTTTTCTGCCTCTAAACTCCTCTGCCTAGAACGCCCTAGGAGCAGCTGAAAAAATCATCCATTATGAGGCCTTAACATTACATTTAGCAGTTTCCTTAGCTTTCTGTCGTTTTTTAAAGATTAAGTTCACTATGCACCCTTGCAAGCCCCCCCCCTCCCCCCCCCCCCGTGACAACAGGCGGGAGACCTTCTCAGCTTCTCCTAGCACCCACTGTCACATTTTGCAAGTAGCGCAGCTATGCGGGGCTCCTCCAACACAGCTGCATCATTCATTCAGTCACAGAAATCTGTGAATGAGAGAACTACAAGTACCGCTAGCCTCAAAAAAAACTGCTGATGGAGCTGATGAGCACTCTCATCGTTAATTCACAAGCCCTGCAGCTTGTAAACAGCCAGCCCATATTGCAGGGATGGTCTGCAGGAGCCTGGTATTACAGCCTTGATCCACTGAACGTGGGTGCAATGCTTTGCCAGCTTCTGAGAGAAAAAATAAATGCACATTTTGTTTTGCTGCAAATATATATACATTTATTATTTTTCCCAAAAGGCGAACTTAGTCTTTAATGTCGGAAATGTTGTTGCTTAACCCTGAGCAATTATTGTATTCATGCTTGAATCATATTATAAAAATTCAAGTTTTGTGACCATAAGCAGAATTTACTCTGGCTAGAATTTCAGAGCTTATCTGAGTGTTCAACAAAGTAGAAAATTATAACTTGAAAGACATCCCTGCAGCTATGAAACAGCAGTTATCCAGAGCAACATTAACATGAGCTATGATACTGCCATATCAATGTTGGTAGACAATCTACAGAGCCGCCAACATGTACACACTTGGGCTGAAAAGCTGTTGGGGAAGTCTCCCCTCCATCAGAACACAATAGCTCAGTGGGAGTGATTCCCCCTATCCACATAGAGTGTGCAAATAAGGGAATCAGGTCAGCCATTTCATTCAACCCACTGGTTGAATGAAAAAAACTGAATCATCTATGGGCTATTTAAGGAATAATTCCCTTACAAAATTACCAGTCTATTTGCCTTTAGTAAATTAACCCCTTTGTTCCCATATTCCGAAGCTGGTTTCCTATGGACATGTAGAATTAGTTTGCGCAGGGTTAGAACAACCTGTAGCCAACTATCAAATTATCAGTCAGCCCCATTCCTTTTGACCTGTAGACAAAAGCCTCAAATCATTAAGCTTAACACAAGGATACGTGTCTTTATTTTTGTATTTGGGAGGAGTTAGACTGGGGAAGAAGCAGACTCATCCATCAGTACAGAGTATTTAAGGAAAGATGAGACCGACAGTGGAAAAAGCAGAGTCCTCCAGCAGCACAGATCATTTCAGGAGAGCAGAGCTACACTATATTGCCAAAAGTATTACGATGCCTGCCTTTACACGCACATGAACTTTATTGGCATCCCAGTCTTAGTCCATAGGGTTCAATTTTGTGTTGGCCCACCCTTTACAGCTAAAACAGCTTCAACTCTTCTGCTAAGGCTGTCCACAAGGTTTAGGAGTGTGTCTATGGGAATGTTTGACCATTCTTCCAGAAGTGCATTTGTGAGGTCAGGCACTGATGTCGGACGAGAAGGCCTGGATCGCAGTCTCCACCCTAATTCATCCCAGAGGTGTTCTATCAGGTTAAGGTCAGGACTCTGTACAGGCCAGTCAAGTTCCACCCCAAACTCGCTCATCCATATCTTTATAGACCTTGCTGTGTGCACTGGTGCACAGTCATGTAGGAACAGAAAGGGGCCATCCCCAAACTGTTCCCACAAAGTTGGGAGCATGACATTGTCCAAAATGTCTCAGTATGCTGATGCCTTAAGAGTTCAATTCACTGGAACTAAGGGGCCAAGCCCAACCCCTGAAAAACAACCCCACACCATAATCCCCCATCCATCAAACTTTACACTTGGCACAATGCAAGCTCCTGGCAACTAACAACCCAGACATGATCATCGGATTGCTAGACAGAGAAGCACGATTCGTCACTCCAGAGAACACTAGTGTCCAGTGGTGGCGTGCTTTACACCACTGCATCCATTGCACTTGGTGATGTAAGGCTGGGATGCAGCTGCTCGCCCATGGAAACCCATTCTATGAAGCTCTCTACACACTGTTGTTGTGCTAATCTGAAGGCCACACAAAGTTTGGAGATCTTTAGCTATTGACTTTGCAAACATTTGGCGACTTGTACTCAATGTGCGCTGCAGCATGTGCTGACCCCGCTCTATCATTTTATGTGGCCTACCACTTCGTGGCTGAGTTGCTGTTGTTCCCAGTTGCTTCCACTTTGTTATAATGCCACTAAATGTTGACTGTGGAATATTTAGTGGCAAGGAAATTTTACGGATGGACTTATTACACAGGTGGCAACCTATCACGGTACCACGCTTGAATTCACTGAGCTCCAGAGAGCAACCCATTCTTTCACAAATTTTTGTAGAAGCCGTCTGCATGCCTATATGCTTTATTTTATACACCTGTGGCCATGGAGGTGATTGGAACACCTGAATCCAATACTTTTGCCAATATAGTGTATATAGCAGAGGGAGCAGAGTCCTCCAGCAGTATAGAATATTTCAAGAGAGAAGCAGAAGTAAAAAAAAAAGAGAGTCCTACAGCAACATAGAGCATTTCAGGAGAGGGATTGAAAATTGTCCGGTTCAGCAAGGATCAGCCAAATTTCGATCCATTTATGGCCATTCCTGCTCAAGAAAAGTTGATCTAATGTTCAGCTTCTCTTAAATGGGAATGTTGGAAAATCAGTGGTTGCAGCGCTAGTAAGTGTATTCTGACAACAGAGGAGTCTTGCTTTCAAAATACAATACCTTGCTTGTGTGGATGGGGAAATCCGTTCTTTTATTAAATCCTGCTGGTTGATTGGAAAAAGAAAAAAACAAAAAATACATCTATTGCCAACCTGTGGATTCACATCACACTGTAGTTGGGCGCAAAATCGCATGTGATTCAGACAGGAATCATACCGTATTCCTGTTCAAATCACATTTAATTCTTTGCAGTGTGATTTGAGCCCATTTATTTTGTATGGACTCAATTTGCACCAGCACAAAAAAGTTGTAGGAACCTTTTTTTTTTTTTGCTGCAATGGAATCGGGTTGCATGGGTGTTTACATACATGCGATCCGATTCTTGCAATCACACTGCATTTTGCGATCTGTTTTGGGGTGTCATTCATTTAACATTGACACCCATGGCAGGTCAAAATAAACGGAGTGCAATTTCAGTATAGTGTGGGAAACGTTCAGGATTTGCTGCCTTTCCTGCACTGAATATATGTGAATCGGGTCTTAGATTGCAAAAGAATATGTATGGATTGTTCTTTGCTTTTAGGACACTCCAGCACCCACAGAAGCTCCAGTTGTAACTACTGAAGCAGCAAGAGTCATAATTGAAGAGAAAAGCGAAGCCAACCCAAGCCCAACAACATATGATTATAACTATGGTGTGCATGAGGATTACTACTCCCCACAACCCTACGAAGACACAAACTACTCTGAGGTGGATGAAACAGAGGAGAGGGCCAATGTAGAGGAAGGATCCATTGACAGGACTGTCAAGGTCATCACCAGTACTGTGACCGCAATCAACAATGTAAGTGTGACTTTTGCGTCTTTGCGTCTCATCATTTACTCAGTATATTTGCCGATTGCATAGCAAGATTCACCCACTGGTGGCATACAAAATATAATCATCACATATATCACACAATAAGCAAGGGAAGCTGTGAAAATCATGGTAGGAATAATTTCAAAATTAACACATTAAATAAACTGTAATTTCATACTAAGGCTGGCCATTCATTATACAGATTTCTTGAGAATTTTGCTTTAGATTTACCAAAAACCTTATAATATGAAGTCAAACGTAAACAACATTTTCAATTGTATCCAATTAGGCAGGCCCTTGCACTGCATAGTTGAAGGGAAATCTAAAGGAAATTGGGCAGAAATTGGACAGAAAATTGTACAGTGTATGGCCAGCCTAAGCCTATTTACTGAACCTAGGAAGACACCTTTAAACAATAATCATCTAGTTTTTCCAGTCAAGCCTATACATAGCAACATAAGGGTCAGCTTCTACCAATATGGATATTTTCCTTATCCAAATAATGGTTTCACCCTTCCCTGTAATGTATAATAAAGAAAAATAGTCCAACTGTGAGAAAGTGATCCCATTTACTACTGTAGATGGGGGCTGAGACAAAAACTACTGTGGGGATATCTCACCATTGTGGAAGGGCCAGAGACACAAGTTTCCTCAATGTGGAATGTACAGAGACACATATCTTACCATTGTGGTAGGGACAGAGAGACACATTTCTGAGGAAAGCTCTTAAAAGCAAGGAGATAGTTAAAACCATCAATATCATCCAAAACGGCAGTTTTCCCTTTACAGTCACATCGTGTGGGGTGGGTGTTTTCTAAATTCTTTACACGAAATACCGCTGATTCATCAACTTTGAAGGTATATTTGGCTCAGTTCACTAGAACATAAGGCATGCAATATGGTCAATACTGCGAGTTATTTCAACTGTTATTTGTCAGCTCATTGGAGGTATTAACACACACACATTTTTATCAATTTTTGACTTTAGAAGTCAATGCATGGGTTATTTATCCTGAAAATTACAGTAGTTGGAGGCTTGTGATAATGGTGTTTCAATGAGGGGAGCAGTAAGAGTGTCTTTTCCTTTCTAAAGCTGGCCATGCATGTGTAGATTTTGAACACATTCATCCATCCATGCTAACAGTATAAATGGACAAATCCACAATGCTGTGCTACTGTATTCTTGGCAGATGGAATGACCTGCTGTCAAAATACCCAAACAGTGCCTACAATCTGATTAGACACATTTCCAACAGGCTCCTTTGACTAAAGTTGAATGAACAAAACGTTTCTAGGAGAAAATTAAGGAGATAAAACTAGAAATAATTTGTCTATCTTGGTTAACTGGGGCACTTGTCTCATCTCAGGGTACACTGGTAAGTGGTGCAGGAAGCTCCAGACAGGAAGGAAATGTCGATGGTGATTTCACGGAGGAGACCATAGCCTATGAAAACTCTTATTCTGACCTGGACTATGATGTGGACAAACAAGGAGAGGATCTGAAAGAATCGGCTGTCATTGTGCCAGAGTATGAGGTAACTGCAAGTTAGTCCTCCACTGAAATTCTCTGCCTTCACTGACTCATCACTTAAATACAAGCATCATCTTCCATTGCATCAGTGATTCCTGTGATATATGAACAGAAATAAAGGTCATGAGTGACACCTGCAGACTAGAAGGTGGCGTTGCACTAGGCGAAAATTAAATCAGAGCAGAAATGCATAATAATAAAATAATTATTTACCAACTATTTCCCACTTTGTAATTTTAGAGACATTTTTTAAATAAAGCAATAAGATAACTCATTTAAGATTGTCTCCCCTCTCCTTATTCACAAAAAAAGTATTCACACTTTTTGGGATTTGTGAACCGTGTTTAAGATATATGTGACCTGTTTTATGGCAGACATACACCAATCAGCCAAAACTTGATGACCACCCACCTAATATTGAGTCCCCTATTGTTACACTAAAACAGCCCCTTTTGCTGCCCAAACAGCCCTGACCCATCGAGGGATGGACACCACTAGACCTCTGAAGGTATGCTGTGGTATCTGGCACCAACCAATCCGTAGCAGATCCTTTAAGTCCTGTAAGTTGTGAGATGGGGGCCTCCATGGATCTGGCTTGTTTTTCTAGCACATCCCACAGATGTTCAATGCATTGAGATCTGGAGATTTTGGAGACCAAGTCAACATTTCAAACTCATTCTTGTGTGTCTCAAACCATTCTTGAACCATTTTTTCAGGCCACCTACCTAAACATTGTTGGTGACCAAGTACCCCCCTTCATGCATCAGGGTGTATTATTTCCATGAAGGGGTTTACTTAGTCATCAACAATGTTTAGGTAGGTGGTACATGTCAAATAACATCCACATGAATGGAGGGACCCAATGTTTCCCAGCAGAATATTGCCCAAAGCATCACACTGCCTCCTCTGGCTTACCTTCTTCCCATACTGCATCCTAGGGCCATTTCTTCTCCAGGTAAGCGATGCGCATGCACCCAGCCCATCACATGATGTAGGAACATGATTAACCAGACCACGCCATATTGCTATGCGGTCCAGTTCTGATGCTCAAGTGCCCCTTTGGAGAAGCTTTTGGGGTTAGCATGGGCACCTTAACTGGTCTGCAGTTACTCATCAACATCAACTTCAGGGACAACATGTGTACTTGCTGCCTAATATATCTCACCAACTTTCAGATGCAATTGAAATGAGATAATCAATGTTCCTAAGCTACAAATAATAATTTAGTGCAGCGCTAAAACAATAATAATATCAATAAATTAACCAAAACATGCAAAAATAAACAAGACAATTATTGAGTGATATAAATAAAAAAACTCCATAAAAAAAGTGCATGAAGTGCTCCAAAAAAGTGTTCACAAAAAGTGTAAGCTGAGGGCATATAATTGGCCTCAAATACGTGCAATCATTCACGTTATAAATGTGAGAAACATCACATATAAAATAATTATAAATTAATTAAACAAACCCCTATTCATATAATATAAATCCCCTGTGTAAAAGGGGATAACACTCTAAGTGAATAGTGTTGAAGTGACCAATCCAACCTATAAATAATCAATCAAAAAAATCCCTAAAAGTCCATAAATCATCAAAATAGTGCTCCAAACAGCAATAACTCATGCAGGGTGATAATAGTGATGATGTCTGTGGAGGTGTCAGCACACTTATCACCCATGGCTAAATTGCCCCCTCACCTCCACTTAGCGACCCAATGGGCCACTACGCCTTCAGGATCACTCCTAGATCCTTCTCCAATAATGACTGGTATCTGTAGTACTCCACCTGTAGTCCCTCTCTCAGGTTGGAAATAAGATACTCCAGGCCTTCCAGGATAGATATATCCGCTAGATATGCCCCTCACCATAAACCATGGTGAGAAAGAAAAAGATCCTCCATAGTGTAGTAATTTGGATAAATTAAACTCTTTTATTAAATGATAAAATGCCCACTTACTTGTTAAAATCTGGTGCGATCACAGTTTAAACGTCATGCCTGGGTGTACTGCATGGGTTAGGATTAATTTGGGTGTTCAAAGATGGTGTCCGCGCCAGATGTACGTCACCGCGTACCGGAAGCTGTGTCACGGCGTAGGTGAGGGGGCAATTTAGCCACGGAGGATAAGTGTGCTGACACCTTCACAGACATCATCACTATTATCACTCTGCATGAGTTATTGCTGTTTGAAGCACTATTTTGATGATTTATAGACTTTTAGAGATTTTTTTGATTGATTATTTATAGGTTGGATTTGTCACTTCAACACTATTCACTTAGAGTGTTATCCCCTTTTACACAGGGGATTTATATTATATGAATAGAGGTTTGTTTAATTAGTTTATAATTATTTTATATGTGATGTTTCTCACATTTATAACATGAATGATTGCACGTATTTGAGGCCAATTATATGACCTCAGCTTACACTTTTTGTGAACACTTTTTTGGAGCACTTCATGCACTTTATTTATAGAGTTTTTTTATTTATATCATTCAATAATTGTGTTGTTTATTTTTGCATGTTTTGGTTGATTTATTGATATTATTATTATTGTTTTAGCGCTGCACTAAATTATTATTTGTAGTTTGTCACTGTTAAGGTATCCGTTTTGAGTGTCAGCTGCTTTAGTTATTAGGTACCACTCCATATAAGCACTGGAGGAATCTTTTTACTTAATGTTCTTAAGCTGTCAATGGTCATAAAGTTGTGGCTGATGGGTGTATACATAGTATGGTATATGTTTCATCATTTGCCAGCATTAGATTGGATGGCCCAGGTGTATATTCAGTAATCAGGACTTTAGGTGGTGCTTTTCTGCATCACTCTGTCTCCATGTTCTGAATATTTTAAGCAGTATTAGACTCAACAGCAAACATTTATTATATTGCAGCTTACCAATTCTTAGATGTGATGGTTGCAATAGTTTTAATTTTTAGGCTCTCTTTCCATTATTTTTATCTGGTGATATGGCAAGTAAGTCTGTTGTTTTTCAACAGAACTAGCTCTCCAGCAAATGTAGTAGTTAGAGTGTTGAGACAAACCATTTACCACTGACAGGGTTGCTTACAATTATTAGATTTTATTTATTCATGTAAAACCTTTATTCCAAAGTGAAAAAAAAACCTGTTGCTGTAACTGCTTGCGCAACTGCAGTGTGAGCTGGAGTTGGCTTCGAATTGGCTTCAATCTGTTAGTGTATCTAAATCTGCTAGTATGACTAACACTCCCTTCCCCCCAGCATAACAATGCTGCTGTCCAAAGGGCCCCTGTGCTCCTTCATCCAGAGTGGAAGCACTTTAAAGCTGGATATACACGTATTGAAATTTAGCAGGTTCAGCAGTGAGCTCAACAGAAGCTGGTCATTAGACTGGCCTCTGTCGAATGGTCCTGCTGGAAAACCAGCATTCAATCAGCACATGTAGCCAATGGCTACTTCGGTGATCTATGTATTCTGACGGGAGCAGTCCCCAGTATCAGAATACAATAGTGCAGCAGGGGAGATTCCTGCATCCACATTGCTTGTGTAGATGTGGGGATGTGAGTTTTTTTTACTTGTTTTACGTTCCACCCACTTGTCGAGCAAAAAAAAGGAAAAATCTGTGTGTATAACCTGCTTAATACAAGAGGTGTGTTACTGGCCAGATAACCAAGTGAAAACAGAGGGGAAAAAAGCTTAAACAAAAAAACGAATGCAGCCACTATATCTAATAATTGGTAAGCTGCAATATAATGGATTTTAGGTTTTGGGTTTATTACCGCTTTAAAGACTTGTGAAAGAGACAGGACTGAGTACAGAATGTCCTTATGTGTCTTACACGTATGTGAATTGCACTGATCGCAGTTGAACCAAATTGATTTCGGTTGACAGTAAAACAGGCCTTGAGATTTTATGTTTTTAGATTTTATTTGCTTTGTTTACCATTTGTATGACATCAGAGTGTATTTTGCAGATTTCTGGAGGTGCTCGGGGTGAGAAGGGACAGAAAGGGGAGCCTGCCATCATTGAACCTGTAAGTCTCCTGCTTATTTCTTTTTTTTTATTGCTTAATAATTGAAATCAATTTATGTTAACTTGATAACTTGTTTACCAAGCGGTCCATACATGTCTTCCTGGTGCTGTAATGCATGTGTATTGCAGTAAGGCAGCCTGTTCATTAGAACATTTCTGGAAGCACTTATGTGTTTGTGTCACGTATGTGAATTGCACTGATCGCAGTTGAACCACGTATTGAATTCTGGTAGACAGTAAAACGAGGACTTTGACTGCAATATTAGTCTTTTGGCAAGATGCATAAGGCCCCTTTCACGTGGGGCAGACTCCGTTGAGATCAGCAGTGGATCTGTCCACTGATCCCCTGCTGATCAGAGCAGAGTGTCCACTCTGCTCTGTGGACTGTTTAGTTGTAAACAGACACTACTGTCTGTTTACACCCGACTGCCCAATGATCTGATCTGTGTAGACGGAGGAGGACAGATCCCCAGCCTTTTTCTTTCTTTCTTTTTTTTTTTTTTTTTTTAGCAGACCAGATCCAACCAGAGGTAAGCAAGTGTAAACAGACTTGTGTGTGCTGGTCCATAGTTATGAAAGGACTGTCCGTTCTGATCTGCCTGAAAAACTAGCGGGCGGACCTGATCGGACCCTTCATATGAAAAGGATTTAAATGTTCTCTTCTAAGCTGGCTGCACACTTTAACTTTTGGTTGTACAATGTCCTTTAGATTTATCAAAAAAGTATGTAGTTTCAGTGCTTACTTTATCAGTCTATTCAATTTACATCCAAGTCAGGTATGCTCTTGTACTGCATACATTGCTGGTACAATAGGATTGTCCTAAGACAAAATGTTAAGTTTTCCTACTGATTTAGTTTAAATTACGTAAAGTCAAAATATTTAAAGCCTGCATATGTATTGGGAACATTATGGATTCTCAATGAAAACAATGACATGAAATATAAATATACCGTACTGTATAATAAAACTCACAAATCTTTTCTTGTTGGGTTTTTGCTGGAAGTGACTGGGCTACACACACAAATAGCACCCTCTCTTGGTCAGTCTAGGTATTGCTGCTGCTTTAAAGATGAAGATTCACATCTGGTCAATGCCTATTTTGCTATCTCTAACTTGATTAAAGAACTTTAGAACAGTTGCAAAGCTCTGCAGTACTGTGGAGAAAAGGGGGGCTTTGTATCTCTTCAGTAATGATGATGATAAACCCGTACTGACACCCTCCACACATCCCCACCATGTAAACATTTTGCTCCTGTTTGTATGTCAATAGTTTTCCCAGATGTCTGAACATCTAAACTGCACCAAGAGAAGGATAAATATTGGCCAGGGCCCCAGATGTTTTTCTTGTGATTAGACATTGCATCCACTTAAGAGATGGTCCAGTGTTCACTGCAACTGTGAGCATCTTCAACTGATTGTTCTACAAGATGCCGGAGGTCCAAGGTTCCCAGGGATCCTATTCAAGCCTATAACTTCATTGTTCAAAATGGAGGGCAGGAAAATATGTCTGAAATACATACGCTGACAGATTAAATTCTGCTGTTCATCTTGACCTGCTTCAGAAAAGCGATTTCTGCGATGTGTTGGTAGCCGCTTGAAAAACATTGAGAAATTAATTTGAAAATGTTTTGATATATGTGACCCAATCCAACCCCATCCAGCTGTAGCGCTACCCTCATGAGGGCCTCTGTAAGACATGGGCCCCCAAAGGTTGCCCTGACCTTGCAGCCACCTGACACCTCTTGACACCCTGGGTTCAGACATATTGCACACAGGAAACAGTTGCACAGACACTTGAATGCAGTAACGCATTTGAGTTTTTACAAAGAATTATTCAGTCAATAAACAACAGTTATGAGAATACCTCTTAGACAACAAACACCTTGCTGGAAATTCAAAACAGTGACCACAGGTGGACTTGGAAGAGATAAACACAATCAATCATTCAAACATGATCAGTAAGGGGGGACCTCTGACTTCAGGTAGAAAAGAGAAGAGGAAGACTTTATGATGGCAGCCTGCTCCCCCAGAATCCTGATACCACAGGTCCTGTAAACAGCACACTCTGTATATTAAATGAATAAGCTATGCTAAAAAACAGTTTTAAATAGAGTCTTCCTTTAACATGTACATGACTACGCCCCTTGTCCTGGGATTGAGGAGCATCAAGGAGAATCCTGGTGGAAAGGATGTCCTGGGTCTTCAGGTAGCTCAATGAGGGCCCAAAGGATTGCTGTGCAATGCGAACCAGCAATGATAATTGTTTTATGTAGATGATTCCAGGTAAAGGTATCAAACTTGAAAGCAGGTGTGAGGTATAAAAGGTGTCTGCATGCAGTATCCCTGAGTGTACACAGGGTGGGCTTCAGTCCGCTCACCATTCCTGATCATGTCACAGTTCAAAGGTTCTGAGCAGGGGCGGACTGACCATTTGGAAACTCGGGCACTGCCCGAGGGCCCGGGGTCAGTAGGGGGCCCCATGAGATGCCCCTGGTACCTTTTTCATAGGCTTTTTTGAGTTTGGGCAAGGACACAGGGGCCCCATGATCCCCTTTTGCCCGGGGGCCCAATGAGTTGTCAGTCCGCCCCTGGTTCTGGGTTGTCCTGGAAGGCTCCAACAGTATCTGCTACCAGTGTGGGATGCTCGGCCTTGCGCCTTGTGACACTGGGTTTCCACTGGGGATGAGATGGGGACAATGTTCACATCTAGGCTCAGTCACATCTGCCAACAGGAAACTGCATACGGATGTTCCAGTGGATGGTCAATAGCTCACACGCAAAAGACTCCTGCTCCCTTTCCTTAGCAGCCAGGTCCCTGCTTGCAGCTTCAGCCCGTAGTCCCAAGAGGAAAAGCATTCTCCCGAGTCCAGCTTATATATCCTTCCCCAACATGCTCCTCTCTTCCTCCAGCCGGCTGGATCCTGTAGCTCCCAGCAGCATGCCCATGTTGGCAATTCTGAAAGTAGGACAGCTATGCCATTTGGTCAGCAATACTTGGGGGTTGATTTACTAAAGGTAAATAGGCTGTGCACTGCAAGTGCAGTTCATGCAAGGAAAACAAAAAAAAAAAAACAACAATATTTGCTAGCACATGATTAGATGAAAGAAATCAGCAGAGCTTCGCCTCATTTCAGAGCTTCCCCTCAGATCTAAAGCAACTGCACTTGCAATCAGCCCCATTGGGTTTATGATGCATAAGCTTGCCTAGCCTTTTTGTGAGTGTATTACTGTAACACAATAACGTTTTTTTCGAATATTTTACACTATGTGGGTGCAATCTGTTAGTTTTGCATTTAACGAGGTAGGTAAAAAAAACAAAATAAAGTTTGGCTTTACATAGTTTGATTGTTGCAGAATGCATAGAGGTGAGCTAAAGCTTACACTCAACAATACCTCTGAAGACAGGCCTGCTTAGTGCAACAAAATATAAAATTTTGTTTGGGAGGAATTACTAAAACTGGAGCACTCAGAATCTGCTGCAGCTGTACATGGTAGCCAATCAGCTTTGAACTTCAGTTTGTTCAATTAAGCTTTGACAATAAAACCTTGAAGGTGATTGGCTTCTATGCAGAGCTGCACTTGATTTTGTACACTCCAGTTTTAGTAACTCTCCCACTATTTCCAGGCATGGTTGGAGCAACTGACTGATTAGTTAAGTAAATGCTGCAGTACATTCACCAACCCCCCTTCCCCAGAGAAAGCACAGTAGGACATCACTGTCACTCCTGATTTGCTAGATGGTCCTGTTTCAGCAGCATATAGCTGGTTAGCATGTCTTGGAGATAGCTAAATATTCCCAGTAGCAGACCTACCCCTATCATCAGCAGGGAGGTACACAATTATTGACTGAGGGATTCTCTGCTAAAAGTCAGCCATATATTTGTCCTGACACCCACAGAGGACACAAACACACCACACACTCTGAAATCGTTACTGCATAGTTCCAGTGAAGATGTCATGAGTATTGAAGCTACCTTGTAGCAAAAGGATTTATGTATCTATAGCAGTGCAAGGAGCAATAATATGAAAAATGCAGTGAACCATAGCAACCAAATATCAATGCACTGGAGCCAGATCAAGCTAGACATTGAATGAAATAACTTACAGAACTGTTATGGGTGAAAATTAGAAAAGTATAATAAAAAAAAACCCCCACAAACAAACACTGAGCCTGGGTTCACATATGTGCAATGTATTGCATGTGATTTGCACTAAGAGTAAAACATTTTAGGAATAAAGGCACCATTATTGCACTCTTTCAATCTGCCTACACAGTATGCAAACACTAATACACAGTGGGGTGGATTCACTACAAATAGACTGCGCATTCTGCGTGTGCGGTTACACTCATTTTCCTTCATATAGGCCAATGTGGTAAAGCTTATCTTTATAAAAAATACTTAATCAGGTGCAAGAAAAATTAATAGAAAAAAAAAAGCATTTTTGATTGGATGATGGAAATCAGCAACTGTACTTGCAAAGTGCACAGTCTATTTCTCTTTAGTAAATGAATCCCAGTGTTAGTTTCCTAATATAATCATACAATTCTGGCTGAACTGGGTACAGATGTTAATTAACCATGTCAGATATTTACAAAATTAATGTTGGAGTTGAATTAGTGTTGAATGTTGCCTTACTGAATAATTTAAGTTATAGAGGAACCCAGAGAATTTCAAAACCATTTCTTTTGCTCTAGGCTGGCTGTACATGGCCCAATAAACACAGAAGATGTGTCCACTCCCAGCACTGCTTGCAGCAGTCAGGCTATGTAGCAGTTCAGTGTACTTTACTGTTGGAAGTGATAGATATCTCACATGAAGGTTTTCCCAAATTTTCAAAAAAACAAATCTTTTATTATGCATGCGCCTGCATGAGACTTGTATGCTGAAATGGGAAGATCATACCTGGAAGGTCAGTTTGTGTCTTGCTGCCTCTGTGGCCAGCCTAAATAAGAGTACACTGGTCATGAGAGGAATGCACTCTGCCATTGCTGTTCTCTTTCTGAGAATGATATTTTCCTGGCTGGGTCTAGCCTTACCCCATGTCCACGTTTTGCGTGGGCACAAGAGCCCATTCATGTGAATAGACTCCCATGCCCCGAGACACACAGAGAAGAAGTCCCTGCACTTCTTCTGAAAACGCAGCCCGCACGGGAACCTTGGTTTCCAGTACAGTTGCAATTTCCAGTGCGGGCGGCATGCCATTAGAAGTAATGGCACCCGCCCACGGGTCCGCATTCCTCTGTGCGGGTGGTGCGGCTGCACGGATTTTTGTGCAGATCTGCAGCGGCACCACCCGCACAGATGTGACCTAGCCTGATCAGTTAGACCCAGAACAAACCTGCTGTGCTTCCTGAATTCCATTTGTCTATACTTGTTCTAGGTCAGTGACTTAGAAGCCATTTATTCCAAGCATCAGCATGGCAAACATAGAAACAGCATTCTCAAAGGGAGAGATCAGCAAAGGCAGGCTATTTAATTCTCAAATGACAAGCATGCATAAATTCTATTATCACTGTTTTCATTTCTACCCTCACAGCTGAAAAAGTCCTCCTATGATGGCAACCCAATCCTATACCCCGTCCTGACCTTTGACTCTTTAGCAAGAGATGTGCTTGGGCACAGGAATTCCAGTGTTGTGTCTGTCACATAGACCATCTCTCCAGAACGTAGACTTCAGCCTTCTTTCTATAGATGGGTAATAGGAAGTGACAGGTAGCAAAACATTATTACTGAGGCAGATCATATGAATTGCAGCACAGTCTAATATATTCCACAATGGTCACGGCATAGCAAGAACTGTGGTGGGGTTTATAGATGTTAGAGAAGATAAAGCATGTTTCAGTTATGCACAAAATGGTTTCCTTATCTACAATGGCATTTTATAATAGCATACAGATGAAAACTTGCTCCTCCTGCTGGATGAAACTTCTTGCAAAAGATTGCTGGCTATATCTCAAAGTTTCAACAGACACCTGAGGGATAATTTACCAGACAGTGCACAGTGTAATGATTACGTGCGCAAGGTTTTAGAATTGAGCCAATTAGGGAAGATCCAGTATACCTCTCACTTTGCAAGGTCAATATATTTCCATCTTCTGCTTCTACATGTGTTGGTTCTCCACGTACCCCTCCAGGACACCACTGATGAACGAACCATGGATGTTTATATCCATGACTTGCAGCTTTACCATAGCCGCAGCTTGCTAGGATATCATACAAATTGAGGCCTCTGCTAAACAGGATCACAGCAGATTAACGAGAAGATGGAGTCTGTAGCAAATGTGTGGAACTGGGCAATCAAATTTCATTATTTCAGTGATCTGACTACCAATAAGCAATAACCAATTGTTCGCTTTTGGTTGCAGAAGTGTGAAAACTGTCATTGCTCTTTGTAATGCTTCTGGAATAAGCTAATAAATGTCCTGTCTTGTGTATGCACATTACAGAGCAGATTGGTTTATGTCTGCGGTATGAGGAACAGGGAAGCTGCAGGTTGCCGCACTGTGTGTGAATACTAATCTGGACACTGAGATTTGTGCGTGTTTGTCTTCAGCACACTGCAGTATAATGCACAGTAGGAAATAATCTGCTTTACATGGAAAGTTCAGAGCGACTGTCTTATCTCCTCTTCCCATCACTTTGTACATTCCTGAAAATTGACTAAACTCATAATTACAATGCAGATTGTCATAGCAGTCCCAAAGATGTTAACAATGGAAATTTTTGCTCAGGGGGAAAATACTTCAAGATGTCGTCAGTGAGGCAGCTGGGGGTAATGGTGAACCTGTGATGAACCTTTGTCACTTATGCCGCAATAAATTAACCACATTTTTGGTAAAATATAAAAGACAAGGTTGTGCCGAGTAGATAGATACCCAACATGCCAAACCCTAAATTTTGTGTGTGCCTATGAAATTGCATCAAACTTCAGTACCCTATATTTTCAATAGACAACGCTTCAAAAGCCCCTATAGGTCATCCGTTTAGTGTTACAGTGGAGGTCTGGTGCTAGAATTATTGCTCTCACTCCAGCATGGGCGTCAATATGTAACATGTGCATCGCAATCAATGCTAATGATGGAAATTTTGGCTCAGGGGGACTTAGTGCCTGGTCATACTGGTGCAATTTGAGGTGCAATTTGGGAATTGAAATCGCATGAAGTGAATGTCACTGTCTTAACATTTGCGATTTGCTGTAGCGCAATTTCTAAAGTATTTCTGGCGTTACTTTTTCTGCAGTTTTGTTGCAATTTCACATACATAGAATACAATGGAAATCGCACTGCAAATTGCAAGAAATAATTGAAAATCTTCACAAGTAGCAATAAAGTCTTCAGAAATTGCACCTAAAGTCGTGCTGAAATTGCACACAAATCACGTCATTTTAAATCGCAGCAGTGTGACCGATGACTCACTCCCCGGTCACATGGGGTGCGACTTGGCATGCGATTTGCAAATTGTATGCCAAGTCGCACCCTATTGTCTGCTATTAGAGTGGTCATATTGGTGCGTTTCCGCACCTATTTCTAAAGTAGTGCATGCACTACTTTTGTTGCGATTTGTATAGACATCTGTGTCAGATATCTTGCAAATTGCAACTGAAATTGGCAAGTCACCCAGTTTTGAAATCGTGTGACTTCATAGTAAGTTGCACGATTTCAAAATTGGCTTTGATGTGATCAGGGGTTAATAGAAAACGGCTTCAAGATGTCGTCAGTGAGGCAGCTGGGAGGTAATGGTGCACCTGTGATGATTCTTTTCACTTATGCCTTGATTTGTCTTTCCAGGGAATGCTGATTGAAGGCCCACCTGGTCCAGAGGGCCCAGCTGTAAGTTTCTATGTTTTACTTCCAACATAGTTCAACCTCTTGCCTACTCGGTCATTTCTGACACTTCTCTCCTACATGTAAAAATCAGCATTTTTTTGCTAGAAAATTACTTAGAACACCCAAACGTTATATTTTTTAAGTAGAAGCCCTAGAGAATAAAATGGTGGTTGTTGCAATTTTTTATGTTACATGGTGTTTGCACAGCGGTTTTTCAAACACACTTTATTTGGAAATAATACACTTTACTCAATTGTAATGCACAAAAACACAATATAATACCTAATTGTTTGGTAAAATATAAAAGATAATGTTACACTGAGTAAATGGATACCTAACATGTCACTCTTCAAAACTGCGCACACTTGGGGAATAGCGACAAACTACGGTACTTAAAAATCTCCATGGCAATGCTTTAAAAGCATTTACTGGTTACCAGTGTATTGCTATTGCTATAACGTTCACAGTGATACCTCACATGGGGAGGAGGGAGCGCTGTACATTTTTAAAAAAATGATTTTACTACTTGTGTTAAAAAAAATTACACCATCTATTTAATTTTTTTTTATCAACTTTACTGCTACAAGGGGAGAACAAGATCCCTGTGATAGCATCAGAACCACTGACTGCAGTCCCAGGCTCTCCAGTGAGACGTGAGAGCCCGGGAAGGCTGACTAATGGAAGTTCCTTGTTCCTGTGTCAGAGATATTGTTCTGATTAATGTCATCGTCAATTTTTGGGTTTAATTTTTTGGGGCTTTCTTGCAGGGATATCCTGGTCCTCCTGGAACCTCAGGTCCTCCCGGTCCATCTGGTGATCCTGGTGACAGGGTATGTACCATCCTCATATTGCGTTGTCAGTATATTTACCAGCAAGTAAAAGGGAAGAACGTGGCCAGTCAGTCCACCTAAAAATGGCAACTTTGGGTGGACCATAGAGTTTAAATTACTCATTGCTTTTATACTTCCCTGGAATGCCAGTGGTAAGTTCTGTGCTTCAGCTCTACTCAGTGTCACATCCAGCATCCCAGAGATATTACAACCTAAAGGTTGTGTAAGCTGATAGAACAATAAATAGTAATGTCAGGGGAGGAGCCTGCGTTAGGAAAGAAAGGTAAGGAGTGTATCCTTCCTTCTGATCACTATATGCGGGAAATGCAATGGTAAAATATTTATAGTACATCACATTTAGGTCATATAACTCTGGTAATCCACCACGATATGCTGTGCTGCCATTGTATTCAGAGCCAGGTGTGTGGGGTGGTTAGAAGGGAGAGCTTCTCACAGCCACCAGGGGAATTCTCAACTTTAGGCTACTTTCACAGAGAAGTTTTTGAACCATTTTTGTGTTAAAAAAAGCTCAAGAAAAATGCTTCCCTATGTATGTGAATGTATATCTATGTATGTCTTCACACTGAGGCATTGTGCTTGCAGTGCGGTGTAAAAACGCCTGCTTGCAGCATCTTTGGGGCATGCATGATGAGTAAAAAAAGCCTCAAATATGCCTCTTCCCATTGAAATCAATGGAAAACACCTGAAAAACGCCTTTGGGAGTTATTGCTCCCCACACTGTATACTGTCATGGGCTCTCCTCTGGGGAGCAGTACACATAAATAATAAACTCTCCCTGCCTGCCTTCTGTGTGTCCTGCACCGCCCCCCTGGTGTAGCGGTAAAATAGGTATCCTGTGAAGATATGCATCCCCTGAAGTAATTGCGCATGTGCTGGTTTCAGGCCGAAGAAGACGATCTCCAACTGTAGCACAGAGCTGCCACAGTTAACCCCTTACAGACTGCACACCGCTGAAGTGGATCACTATGGGTTGCAAGATCAATCGGATCTGCGGATTTTGGAACATAATGGATCGGAGTGAGGACAGTGACATGGGGAGGGCAGTGACATGGGGAGGGGCAGTGACATGGGGAAGGGCAGTGACATGGGGAGATTTTTTGGTGGCAGGTTCTTTTTATTGAGACATGCAGGGTCTAAAAGACCCTGCATGTCTCCTCTGGGCTCCATTAGATTTATTGCAATACAAACTGCATTGCAAGACATCTATCACCAGCTAGTCAGGAAAGTGACAGCTGTGACCTGGAAGGTGACGTCATGGACGTCACCTTCCAGGTCACACAAAGAAGGGGAGGGGACTCTCTCCTCTTTCACCCCCACCCACCATGACCCTCCCCAGGCCCTCCCGTGGGGGGAGGACAACACTGGAACTGGGGGCTTTGGAACGATTGGTCTGGTATCATGGAAGAAGCTGACCTGCAGCGAGGGCCTTGTGAGTACAGACTGTTCTACATGGATGCTGGGACATGTGTTCTTTAACCCCCTTGGGATCTATATAGTCAGCTGCTGGGTGTAAGCTAGAGGGGACTCTGGCTGGTGTCCAGAAGAGCAATTGTCCACTAAGTCTGCATATCTACAGAGGGACTTTGCTCCTTTCCTGTACAGTCTGCTACACAGTTCAATTTTGAGAAAGCTGTCCTCAATTGTGCAAAGTTTGATTCAGAGGAGCCTACTATATCCCTTCCCTATAACAGTTTTCAAAAAACAAATAAATAACAAAAAACTACAACCCCTAGACTGATCATTCTGAGTAATGAGTGGAAGATGTGTGCACCTAAGGAAAGTGGTGTGCTTGGAGGAAAACTAGGGGAAGCCTGGGCAAGATACGACTAGCTCCTGCAAGTATAGCACTACATAAAATTCCTAATACACTTCACAATTTGCCTACCACAACGGTGAAGATGGAAAGAACACTGAGTTACGGTCAGGAGTTTTCACCCATACATTGAAGTAATGGGGGACCCATCTCTGAGTAGGACATATTTGTGTTACATGACTTACAGCAGTGATACAATGTAACAAACTGAGTGTCAGGATAACAATCCGCCCTGTTCTAGCTCCTCAAGCAATGTTCCCATCCAGCGAGGAGAGATGGCAGCCATACAGGAGACGCACTATGTTAGTTTTCCCAGTACAGTTTAACAGAAACACATGACATCATCCATTACTACTTCTTCATCTGGATTTTATTATAGGAGCAAGAGTTGCTTGCAGGGCGGTTCCATGTCTCTGTGAGCCAAAGCTGGGAGACTCTGGGGGATTATAGAATGAGACGTCAGAAGTCATGAAAATTATGTAACCCCTTCCTGAACGCAATGAGTTCACTCTGCCAATGAGAGGTCATTGTGTGTGTGTGTCTGTGTGTGGTTATTTATATAATGCCCACAGGCATTAACAATTTGGGAAATTTCAAGATTATGTAATGTAACAGACATGGAAACAATAGGTGGAAATGTCTTGCCCACAGGAGTGATGATGAGCAAGTCTTATTCGTACAAAGGAGCAGTCATCCACACAGGTGAGAAGATAGATTGCGGCTGATGAGGACAGGTTAAGCTAGCCATAGATGGTTCAAATCTTGGCCTGTTTAGCAGAAACCTAACGAGATTTGAACCATCTATGTGCAGGCTGATTGTACCAAATTCTGTTGTTGTACATCTTGGGTACAACCAGCCTGTCGGATTTGTCATGCTATTATTGCCAGTGCCTACAGTGGCTAGCAATAATCACTGTGTTCTCTTGGCATGGACAGCTCCCCCACCCCGCCAGGAGAACACAATAGCTCCATGGGAGGGATTCCCTCATCTACAGTTGTGACCAAAATTATTCAACCCCCAATGCTGTAAAGGGGTTTAGGGACTATAGTGTACATTTGGAATTGTATTCAGAATCAAATCCTACAAGGACGTTGTAACTACCCAAATGCAACTAAAATGACATCAATTGTTTATGTAATACAGTAGTAAATGGTTCTTATGTGGTTTCTTCATTGCCACAATTATTCAACCCCTTAAAGACTACCACTCTGAAGAACAGAGGTTCATACAGGTGCTTTCCATCATATTGAAAACACCTGTGGATGTCACCGAGCAGCAATCAAGCATAATAAGCACCAATTAGGCAGCTTTAAAATGACTGTGATACTCAGCTCCTTCTAGACATTTACTGGTGTGGTTACAAACATGGTGAAGGCAAGAGAATGGTCCAGGAAGACAAGAGAAGAGGTGATTTCTCTTCACAGGAAGGGCAATGGCTATAAGAAGATTGCAAAGATGTTAAACATACCAAGAGACACCTTAGGAAGCATCATTCGCAAATTCAAGGCAAAGGGCACTGTTGAAACGCTACCTGGTCGTGGCAGAAAGAAGATGCTGACTTCGACTGCTGTGCGCTACCTGAAGCGTAGAGTGGAGAGAAGTCCCCGTGTGACTGCTGAGGAACTGAGAAAAGATTTGTCAGATGTGGGTACAGAAGTTTCAGCCCAGACAATAAGACGCACACTGCGTAATGAAGGCCTCCGTGCCAGAACTCCCAGGCGTACCCCCTTGCTGTCTCCAAAGAATAAGAAGAGTCGACTGCAGTATGCCAAAAGCCATGTGGACAAACCACAAAAGTTGTGGGATAGTGTTCTGTGGACTGATGAAACAAAATTAGAACTGTTTGGGCCCATGGATCAACGCTATGTTTGGAGGAGGAAGAACAAGGCCTATGATGAAAAGAACACCTTGCCTACTGTGAAGCATGGTGGAGGGTCAATCATGCTTTGGGGCTGTTTTGCTTCTGCAGGTACAGGGAAGCTTCAGCGTGTGCAAGGTACCATGAATTCTCTTCAGTACCAGGAGATATTGGATGGAAACGTGATGCAGTCCGTCACACACCTGAGGCTTGGGAGACGTTGGACCTTTCAACAGGACAATGATCCCACGCATACCTCCAAGTCCACTAGAGCATGGTTGCAGAGGAAAGGCTGGAACATTTTGGAGTGGCCATCGCAGTCACCAGACTTAAATCCGATTGAGAACCTCTGGTGGGACTTAAAGAAAGCAGTTGCAGTGCGCAAGCCTAAGAATGTGACTGAACTGGAGGCCTTTGCCCATGAAGAATGGGCGAAGATACCCGTAGATCGCTGCAAGACACTTGTGTCAAGCTATGCTTCACGTTTTTAAAAGCTGTTATAACTGTAAAAGGATGCTGTACTAAGTACTAAGATTGAATGTCACTTGGGGGTTGAATAAAACTGATAATGCTGTGAGCACAGAAAAGACATTTGTGGTTATTTCATTATAACTGTTATGTTATATTTTGTCTGACCTACAAGTGCCTCTTTAATGTAAATGTAAGCAAGATGACTGAATGATCAAAAGCAATGTCAAACTGGCCAAAACACTCAATTTCAGTGGGGGTTGAATAATTTTGGTCACAACTGTATACTGATCGCATTGATGGGGGAATCAAGTGACTTTCTTTACTGGAACTCGTGGTTGCAGGAAAGAAAATCGCATAGTCTATGGCCTAAATAAATCAAAATTAAGCAGACTTGATTTCAATAAACCTAAATATAGTGTTTAAAGTCCCAAATAAAGTCCCAAATGAAAGTCCCAAAAAGATAATCTTTGCTGGTGATTTCACAATTCTTCGTGTCTCCAAACAATGTTAGTGGTATAGTCCAAAAAAAAATCTTCATATACCTCAAAGAAAAAATACTGAACATAGTGTGTTACCCAAACTTTATCATAAAGTGCCACACGTGTTACATGCAAGCAAACTAAAGTGCCACAGCAACCGTGAAATAACAAAAACTTCTATGCCGTAATTATCAATCCACTGCACACAAATATCAGGAGTGCATAATTACCCTAAAGATAGTACCATAGGATCCATCATATAGATGAGATTATTTCCAGCTTTTTTTCATCAACCTTTCCAGCCACTTCCCACAGACCTCATAAACAAACCAGGGATCAGTGTATATAATAGATAATAATTACACTTTATTGTAGCAAACTTACATTAAAATATGATGAGATCAGCTTTCATACAGTGAAAATGGTTCCACAATAGCGCCGCTCCTCAGTGGCACCTAGGTATCATCACCATACCACTCTGGAGGAGAGACAAATCATCGGTGGAGGATTCCAAGACAAACACAACCGCATGTAGAGAATTCCAGGAAAAACACAACGGCGTGTTCCAGGATCTAAGATGGCCACCACGGCACTTCCGGAAGAGCGTCACTACGTCACCACGTCACGTGCCCCGGACGCGTTTCGTCACATCCGGACTTTTTCAACAGGTTATTTGTAATATAGTCTATGGCCTGCCTTAGGTAGTTGAGGAAGTGGGGTTTGTTATCAGTGTTTACATTAGCAGAATCCAATAGATGTTACTGACACAGTTCAAAGGGCAAAGGCTACACTCTAAATAGAATGAATGACATTACCCAATCAGATTTTATCATTTTTGTTATCAGATAGCGGTAATTGGATATCTGGTTTGCCCTGATTTATGGTATGTGGCACACAGTCACTGCTCTTTGCACTGCAAACTAAAAACAAATGAAATAAAAAATAAAAAAAACACCTAAACATCCATATTCAATAAAGACCCAACCACTGTATGCTATCTGCGAATGCTCAATGCAGGGATCTCTCATACTTTGCCCAGCTGTCTGTTCTGGCTATAATACAGACAAACAAGGAAAAAAAAGTTATTTTAATATGAGATGCACCGAAAGTAGAGGCCAGGCAATGTGTTCTTGCTATGTCTGTGCTTTGTACACCAAGCTCTAAATTGCTGCATTTAACCCAGAAAGGATGGCCATTGTCACACTGTTTACTCACTAATTGGCAAAAAAAACACCTAATTGTGGATTTTTTTTAATTCTATGTCAGCAGATACAGCATTTTGTGATCCATGTAAATGCACATTAACAGATGTTCTCCTGCTGATTAATGCTGATCCATTAATAGAGAAGAAGAATTTTTCCCATTTCCCCATTTTTGAAATCTGATCCATAAATCCTATTTTATAATAAGTGCTTGTCTCATGGTATTTGTTATGCGTGGCAGGATTAAGAACAGATCAAAATACAGCTCTAGTATATTTATTAGTGCTTGGAGACAGGGAAACCCAGGCCTCTAACAAAGCCACTGTAAACTGCTGGCGGCCTTCTCCCTCTGGCCTGAAACATGTATCTGGCCTGTGTAAACAGATTTTACTATTAGAGAAGAAAAAAATCACAACCTAGAATGTCAAACAGGTTGTTACAGGTGCTGAACTGGAAGACTTGGTGTTGTTCTTCTATAGACTGCCATCTCTGCCAGAAGTAGCTATTAAAGCTAGGTTCACACCTATGCAGGTTGCATTTGACCCGTTTCTGCATTGAGCTTTGCATTGCGTTTTTTGACGCAATTTGCATATTTAAAAAAAAAATTCTTGTTGCTAGGCAGATTTAAAAAGCAAAACCTGGCAAACCCGCAGCAAAAACACACCACATTCTTTTCTGCAGTGTTTCCATTGAAGTCTATAGAATCAAAGCGCAACTTTTTGCGTTCAAAAAAGTCCCTGACCCTTTCCAAAAAATGCACGAGATGTGAACATGTCCTATAGGAAATTATGTTAAATGGACTGTACTGCGTTTCTGCAAAACGCTGTGGAAAACGCTTAGGTGTGAACCTAGGGTAACCCCAACTCGATAAGACAGGACTAGCAGTGTTTAGGTACTCTCCCCCTTGCTAGCATAATGAACACTTGGCTGAGCTGTGCTTACCATAGGGCAGTTGATTCACATGCATATCTGCACATGCAACTGTCCTGCTTTTTTAATATTCTCTTTATTAACATGATTAGTGATGTTAGAAGAAGTGCTACTGGAACACCATGGGGTTGATTTACTAAAGTAAGTAATAGACTGTGCACTTTGCAAAGTGCAGTTGCTCCTGAGCTTAGTAAATGAGGTAAAGCTTCACTTTGCAAAGAACACCCAATCACGTGCAAGAAACATTAACAAACTGCATTTTTACTTGCACATGATGATGAGTGCATACTCTATTTGCCTTTAGTAAATCAACCTCCTAGTGTTCCCGATCACCGCATCCACTCAAGCCCCTTTGGAAGGTGGCGCAGAGTAGATACCCATCCAGTACGCTTAGAGTCATTGTGACAGCTGAAATTACCTTTACAAGCTTTTCTCTTCTCTTCCTGTAAGTTTAACTGAGCTTTAGTTAGAATTCAATAGAACGATTTATGGTTTAGGTTCACTCTGGTCTTGTTTTTCTGTTCATAAATTTTGGATCAGAGGTTTTTTTTGCTATGCTTAGACTTAAATCAATTTGCTGAGCAATGAGTGTCTCAGGTCTGCAGTACCATATTTCTCTTAAGTCTCTGCAGTGATCCCTACTCATGGAATTCTGGGTCACTTGCTGCATTTCCAGAGATACATCTGGTTAATCTGCATAGCAAAATAAGATGGATAAACTAACAAAGCAAAAGAGGCTTTATGTTATGCATGAGAATTTTTGCCATTATTTTATTAAGATGCTGAAGGCCATTAGGGTGCGTAAAGTTCTCACCCCTACATGCTTGCATAATAATGCACTTACAAAGCAAATCTGGATAAATATTATAGTGAGCAATTGCAACACATTTCGATACTGATAAAAATTAAGACACAAACTCAAGGCAGAAGAAGAAAAAAGGCAGAATATATTTTGTACAAGTCTTTAGTTGGAATGTCTTACAACCCCAAAATGATATTGCAGTTATGGATGGGTAAAAGTATTTCAAACAGTCACTGTCTTCTTAGATGTCTTGAGATATGGCAGCGAAAAGTAGCTGAGAACTCCAATAAGGAGGCTTCTGTAGTGGAGCACCTGAATCATTTATAAGTCATGAGTCATAAAAATTGGTATAATATTATTTAAATATAACATGTTGTTTGTTTATTGGTGACCTGAATATCCTCTCACCCTGCAGGGACCACCTGGCCGATCAGGACTTCCTGGAGCTGACGGTTTAACGGGGCCTCCTGGTACCATGCTCATGCTGCCTGTAAGTACATTGGGTCTCAATTTGTATTTGAGGGCACATGAGGAACATGTTTTATTAGAACAAGTTATCTACTTAATGAGTGCTTTACTTTTGCAAATTTAGGAGTGTAATTTGGTGTTTGTTGAACACAGGTCAAAGCTGAAGGAAGTAAACAGTGCTAAAGAACATGATCCTTGTGGTGGTACTTGTACTTGTGATTGCAGTCTGAACTCAATAAGTGGTTGAAATACAAAATTCAGCAACTTACTAGCTTTGGGCAGAGCAAACATGTCCATGTTTGGCACTTCTTACGTTTTCTATAGATGGGGTGCTGCAAGATAAAAGGGCAACATTTTGACTATTATTTTATTTTGGACATTTTCTGGCAAATAGTATTATGTTGGCATGATTATTCATGTTCTTATTAACAATATACAGTTGCAAGAAAAAGTATGTGAACCCCTTGGGATTACGTGGAGTTTTGCATGAATTGGGCATAAAATGTGCTCTGAACGTCATCTAAGTCACAACAATAGAAGAACACAGTCTGCTGAACATAATACTACACAAACATTAGATGTTGCCATGGTTTAATTGCACATAACATGTAAACATTCACAGTGCAGGGAGGAAAAAGTATGTGAACCTTTGGACTTAATAACTGGTTGACCCTCCTTTGGCAGCAATAACCTCAACCAAACGTTTCCTGTAGTTGCAGATCAGACCTGCACAACGATCTGGAGTAATTTTGGACCACTCCTCTTCACAAAACTGTTTCAGTGTAGCAATATTATTAGGATGTCTGGTGTGAATCGCTCTCTTAAGGTCATGCCACAGCATTTCAATCGGGTTGAGGTCAGGACTCTGACTGGGCCACTCCAGAAGGCGTATTCTGTACTGTTGCAGCCATTGTTTTGTTGAATTACTTGTATGCTTTGGGTCATTGTCCTGTTGCATCACCCATCCTCTGCGGAGCTTCAGTTGGCAGACAGATGGTCGTACATTTTCCTGCAAAATGTCTTGATAAACTCTGGAATTCATTTTCCCATCAATGACAACAATCCGTCCAGGTCCTGAGGCAGCAAAGCAGCCCCAAACCATGATGCTCCCTCCGCCAAGATTTACAGTGGGGATGAGGTTTTGATGTTGGTGTGCTGTGCCTTTTTTTCTCCACACATAGTGTTGTGTGTTCTTCCCAAACAACTCAATCTTGGTTTCATCTGTCCACAGTATATTTTGCCAGTAGTGCTGTGGAACATCCAGGTGCTCTTTTGCAAACTTCAAACGTGCTGCAATATTCTTTTTGGACAGCAATGGCTTCCTCCGTGGTGTCCTCCCATGTACTCCATTCTTGTTTAATGTTTTCCTTATTGTAGATGTGTCAACAAAAATGTTAGCATGTGCCAGAGATTTTTGTAGGTCTTTAGCTGACACTCTGGGATTCTTCTTTACCTCATGCAGCATTCTGCGCTGTGCTTTTGCAGTAATTTTTACAGGACAACCACGCCTAGGGAGAGTAGCAACAGTGCTAAGCTTTCCCCATTTGTAGACAGTCTGTCTTACCGTGGACACATGAACATCAAGGCTTTTGGAGATACTTTTGTAACCCTTTCCAGCTTCATGCAAGTCAACAATTCTTGATCATAGGTCTTCTGAGAGCTCTTTTCTGCGAGGCATGGTTCACATCAGACAGTGCTTCTTGAAACCAGTAAACCCAAAACAGGTGTGTGTTTTTTAAGGGCAGGACAGCTGTCAGCAACACATCCAATATCATCACACTGATTGGAGTCAAGGTTGGCTCACTCCTGGCTCCAATTAGCTCTTGGAGAAGTCATTAAGCTAGGGCCTCACATACTTTTTCCTCCCTGCACTGTGAATGTTTACATGTTATGTGCAATTAAAACATGGCAACATCTAATGTTTGTGTAGTATTATGTTCTGCAGACTGTGTTCTTCTATTGTTGTGACTTAGATGACGTTCAAAGCACATTTTATGCCCAATTCATGCAAAACTCCACGTAATCCCAAGGGGTTCACATACTTTTTCTTGCAACTGTATAGTGGTCAGTTCAGTAGGTAATAATAGATGTAACCGACCACATGGCTGCTATGGGGGATGTTGCAGACCAATGCTGCAGCCATATAAGTTAAAATGTATGTTTTTTTTTTTTTTACTTCCTGCACTTCTTCTTTAAGCCTAAAGCAGTCAAAAATTCCCGCGTTTCCTCTGCTAAAATCCTAAAGGACAGCCGACGTTTGTAGCTGTACAAAAAGCTAGTGTTGATAGATGTATTTCTATATCAGAGGTCTCCCCCAGCCCCCAGTGCAGATCTCCCCATCCCTAATTCTGCTGCAGTTGTTGGCTTGGACCATCATTGTCCTAGCAACCACTGACCTGATTGCCCCACCTCCAGCATTTACAGGAAGACTGGACCTCCTCTGTCCAGACCTGCTTCGCTTCCTAGCCTCCACCCTGCTGCTCTGCCACCTGAAAGGTGAGGGAGGACTTCGCTTGCCAAACATGGGTGTAAGAAGGGACTCTTCTTGGTACTCCTGGATGTAAGGAGGAGGGAGGGGCTCTGCTGGGCACTCCTGGGTGTAAGGTGGGGACTTTGCTGGACACTCCTGGATGTAAGGGGGGGAGGGCTCTGCTGGGCATTCCTGAATGTAAGGGGGGGGGGGGGTTCTGCTGGGCACTCCTGGATGTAAAGGGGGACTTTGCTGGACACTCCTGGATGTACGGAGGGGCTCTGTTGGGCACTCCTGGATGTAAGGGAGGGAGGGGCTCTGCTCGGCACTCCTGGATGTAAAGGGGGGGCTCTGCTGGGCACCTCTGGATGTAAAGGGGGACTTTGCTGGGCACTCCTGGATGTAAGAGGGGGCTTATTTAGTCATAATTTTTTAAAACTGTTTTTTTTTTCAACACACAAATACGTATATTATATTATGTGGCCCTCATACCGAAGAGTTTGGAGACCCCTGCTCTATATGTACTGCCTGAGCCATAAGGGGGAGTTTTGAGTCAAATTTTGCTTTAGCCAGGGTTCACACCAATGCGGTGCGGGAAAGGCTGCAAATCCTGTGCGTTTCCTGCACCGCATTGCAATTGCATTGCGTTCATGTGATCTGGTGTGGGTGTCAATGATAAATTAATGACACCCCGAAACAGATCGCAAAATGCGATGTGGTTGCCAGAAATTGCATCGCATGGGTGAGAACACCCATGCGATGCGATTCAGGTGTGGATTTAAAAAAGGGTCCTGCACCTTTTTGGTGTGGATGTGATTTGAGCCATACAAAGTGTATGGCTCAAAATCGTACCGCACAGATATTTTGCATGTAATTCACACAGGAATGCGGTGTGATTTCTGTGTGAATTCCATGCGGTGTCCTGCAGCACATAGTCTGAACCTGGGCTCACCCATAACTTTGCATCACCTTGCCAAGATGTGGTCCCTGGCAGAAAAATTGTTAAAGGAAAGGAGCTTATACTGAAAGAAGTGTGGAAGCTGTCAATGTCGACCCTCTTCTGCAAATGCAACTTATCTGGCTGTCTCTGATCTGGAACAAACATGTAGAAATAGAAAGTCAGATAGTCAGAACTCCTGATTTGCATCCTTGTTCTGGGTCATTGCTTCAAAAATGGTTGAAGGTGCTGGATCTGCATGATGGCCAATCAACAAGTATTTTTGGATGGAACAAGCAGCAGTAGCAATCTTCATATTCTTTCAGTTCAGATTTTGTTTAAGATGCTCTCATTAGGAGTTCTGTGCAGCTTGAACAGGGCTCTGGTACTGCAGTAATCCTTCTGATATGAATGTGATTTATCTATTATTCAATACGCAGCAATTCCATGCAGCCTTGATATGGCCTTTTAAGCAAGAATAAATCTAGCTGCCATATTAAAAGTGAAAGGTTTCTATACAGCATGAAAGCTGCAGGAGAAGGAGGGGGGAAAGGGAACATAAAAACATCCCAATGACTTGCTTGTAGTCAACAAAATGGTGTTTATACAACATGGAATAAAATGCAGATTGTTGGTTCTAAAAGGAGATACCTGCTGTGAGTTATGAGAGACAGAATAGGCCAGGCTCTGTATATACCAGGTTGAAGCTACCTATTCCTGTCATCTGCAGAACCTCCCTTTCTATCAGTACAGGTATGCTGAAGTTACAAAATATGGTACATCAAGCCAGGCTGGATAACAAGTAACAATGTACCTTTAAGAAACCCTGTCACTAGACCATTAATTTCAACAACAACCTTCCGATAAGGTTATAGGTGCATTTAACATATTAGGTTTGTTATTTACAAACATAAAAGCCGCCCTTGTGTAGACATTCCAAAGGCCTGAAACTGCTGCTGGGTGCCACCATCATGGATGTGATGACAGCAAGTACTAGCAGACTCACAGCTGTCACTCAAGTGGACCTGCTATAGTATTTCCCTTTTCTTCTACCCCAGCAGCTATAATTTTTTATAGGAAGGTGGATGGAGGGAATTAAGGGTCAGTTCACACTATAGAAATGCAGTTCAGATGTGTTCTGGATGTGTTTTTGCATGCACGTTTTTGTTGCGCGATTCTGATGTGTTTTTAACGGGTTCCAGTGTGGGTTTTATGTACTCCAGTTCACTTTTTCTCTCTTTTTCTTCAATTTAAATAGGGACATGTGCGTTCCAGTGCATTTTTGGTGCGTTCTGGATGCATTTTACCACGTTCCAGTACAGTTCTGTGCAGAAAAAATGCAGCATGTTCTACTTTTTTTTCTGCCCCCGGAACATACTGGAACTGCAAGCACTGATGTGAACTATGACATTGACAACCATGTAACCTACTTTCTGTGTGTTTTGGATGGAGAAAAAACTGAAACGCATGTAGTGTGAACCAGGCTTAAGAGTTAGGTCAGCACAGACAGCAAGTAGACACTTTCAGAAGAGGAGAGGGCTATGGCAGGAGGGAGTGGAACTGTGGATGTGCAAAGGAATCAACTTTTCCTGGAGTGATTGAAATCCCTTGCAAGATCAAAGAAATTTTGCACATGAATGTAAAAATTCTTAATGGAAAAAAAAGAACACTGAAAGTAAGCATGCCAAGTTAGTGTCCTCCTTAAGCCTGGGTTCACACTGATGCGGTGCAGAATTCGCACTTGTTTCTATGCGAATTCTGCACTGCATCACAATCGCATCCCGTTCATGCAAACTGCTGTGGGTGTGTATGTTCCTTTAACAACCCCCTGAAATCGGTTCCAAAACGGTATGAATATCCATGCGATCCGATTCTAGTGTGGACCAAAAAAAAGGGTCCTGCATCTTTTTGGTGCGGATGCGGTGCTATTTGAGCCATACAAAATATATGGCTGAAATCGCGCTGCACAGAATTCGCATGCGATTTGCACAGGAATGCGGTGCGGTTCCAGTGCAAATCACATGCGATATGCCGCACCACAGAAGTGTGAACCCAGGCTGTTTCATCCATTTGACAATCTTTCTCTAGGCCTGCAGTAAAACAAATAAGACATACCACCACCTGTTCTTTATCAATTTGGATATTATGTATCCATAGCCAAATGTATGTTTTTTTTTTTTTTGTTTTAGTTAATGCATAGAGGAAGGATTGCTGTGTCCCATGGACACAACAGGAATAAAACAGGATCTCCAAAAAGTGAGCGGAACAGTTATCCTTTACCTCCTGTTGCAAAACAGTAACATTTTGGATTTCCCATGACTAGGGTAACCCATATGTCTCCAAGTTCTTCTGATCTAACCATAGCTACACTTCCCAACTTATACTAATTAAGAAATGACCAAAAGACCCAATCTGGAGAAAATTGCCCAACCTGGCCGTTTATTAACAAGTAAACCAAAATATCATCCCTTAAAACAGAAAACAGATGTACATAACCCATTTCCCATAACATACAGATTGCCGGACTTGAGAGGCAGTTGAGAACCAACATCAGGTTGAGTATCTGCGTTACTACTTCACGATCCCCATCCGCAAAACACCAGCTTGGGGTGAAATAAACTTTTATGCAGATACCAACTTGTTACCACTTCCCAGATAATACCCCGATTAACTGGGATCCAACAGAGGACGCCATACTTTAGATGGGTCACAACTATGAACTGATCTTCTTTAAATGATAACGCCTCCAAAGACCCCAACCTCCAAAAGCCCTAGAGCCCGAAAAAAGAAAACAGGTCTGGAAAATTCCTACCAGTCTGCTGCTCCCGAGGATTTGACGCTCTTTGGGTCTCCTCCTTTTGTAACACCCCCCCCCCAGCAGCTCCATCTACTCTCCGCAACTCCTAATTCGGTAAGTGACCACCTATTTTTCTAGCCAACTCTATCTTTAACCCTGTCCTGCCTTGTATCCCCTGTCCCCCTTGTCATGTAGCCCTTCGCCTATTTTTTTTTTTTTTTTGCTTTAGGCTTATCTTTACTTCTGTCCCAGTGGCAATGGTTATTAGGACAAACAAACTTCACACTGCACCCAAAACTAAAAACCAAATTGGTTTAGATACAGTTTGTCACTAATGGAAAAAAAAGTAGGCATTAAATAAATTAAATAAGATGCAAATATGCTGATAATGTTAATAGATTTTCTCTGTAACACAGAAACAATGAAGCCAAGGGTTCAGAGAAAATTCAAGTTATAAGTTAGGCACTTAGCTTTTACCGCAAACTTGTGAAAAGAAATCTCTCAGTGGGGACATGGAGAGTGATAAAAACCCGACAGTGATTGTAACCCAGGTGCTGTGATTGGCACATTCTCTGTTATTTGCAGTGGAGTAAAATCTTAGAGTACCAGATATAAACTGTTACTGATGTAATCTCACCATACTTTTCTTGCTTTTCTTGCAGTTCCGCTTCTCAGGAGGAGGAGATGGATCTTCCAAAGGACCCCAAGTATCTGCACAGGAATCCCAGGCTCAGGCAATTCTACAACAAGCCAGAGTAAGAAATGTAGCTTGACTTTGCTAACAGCCACCTACAGGGTGCAATTTACATTGGAGAGTCCTAAAGAGAGAGCAAAACTGACTCCGTTACGGTTACATTTGTCTGCATTTCTGAATGGATGATCATTATAAAAAAGGACAGACCATAAATATTCACCTTTTGTCCATCTGCCAAAAAGCAGAGAATAGAGCCACTGAACGTTTATCTTACTCCAGGTTAGCAATATAAGAATGAAAGCCCAATTGAGCTTTCCTTTTAAGCTAGATTAATATTTTCAGGTGCATCAAACAAAAGGTGTTCAAAGTATTAGTTTGTTGTCTTCGTAAACAGCCTGTTCCCTGCTAGCATGCTTCAGAGAAGGACATTGCTCTCTGTGTAGACAGTGGTCGTTCTGTAGATGTTAGGTGTGCCCAAGCTCTTCAATCAGCAGTGAGCACGGGCTTTGCTGTTTGCAGAGCTATACATCTGTCATAGTAACGTGATTGTCTAGGGGCATTGCTAGGATTGTAAAAGACCTGGGGCAACTTTGCACACCCCAAGGAGAGTAGTGATGTGTAGTGTGCTGCAGTGAACTATGGGTGTGGCCAAACTCTGTTAACAGTGGGAGGGGCTTAAGATGCATGGCTAAACAAAACCCTTGCCTCCTTGTACTCATAAAATATTCTTTGATTGATCTGCCACAAGTAAAAGCCTCACAGGCCCATATAAACTTCAGCACAATAATAAAAAAAAAAAATAATAAAAATAGAAAGAACTCGTCCATTACCTATGCTTTTGTGCACACTGAAATTAGATAAAGAACTAATTTTGTCTGAGCCTACCTTAAAGAAAACGTTTATTAAAATAGCCAGGGACTGCTTAGCAGCCAGCAACTGAGACAATGAACACTTTGGTCAGAAGTACGTAATGTTAAATAAAATGCAGAGTCTGTAAAGCAGTAAAGAGTCTGTAAAGTCTAGGGGTCGGAGGTTTGTAAGGCACAAAGTGCAGGGGTTGTGTGTTGCAAAGAGTTCCAGCGGTTAGAATATGACACACAGAGATCAGGGGTCAGGAGTATATATTGTACAATAATGCAGGGGATAGGAGTGTGGAGGGGTCAGGAGAGTGCAAAATCCCTCTCCCCCACGCAAGCAATACTCTCCTTCACTTTACCCCTTCAGCAACCCCCCCAAAATAAAATCTGGTACTAATCTGCAAGCTCATCCCTCTACCCAGCACACATCTTTGTTACACCCCGTTAACAGATCACAGCACAACACAATGCTGGGTGATGTACTTCATCCCAGGCTCTACCCCATGTGTGGTGGGGCACACGTCGGAGCCAAGGAGGAGGCTAGAGGCACCTTCCCTCAGCTGTGACAGGCAGCTGGCAGGTAGAAATGCTGGTTGCTGCAGTGTTGGACTGAATGGTCTGAAGATGCTTATCTGCTTATGTAAGGACAGGTGTTATTTTTTAAATTGTTGCATTGCACACCAACACACTCCATTTGTGTGTCATGGAAAAAATAGGACAGATTGCATTTTTGCTCAGCATGTTGGAAAGTCCTTAATATAGTTTCCTTTATAGACTTTATAGTTTCCTTTATAGGCTATTCTAACAAAGGGGATCTATGTATATAAATACCATGCCTGTTATATATTCTACATCACGGGTGTCAAGCCCAAGGCCCGCAGGTCGAATCCGGCCCTCCAGGTCATTTCATGTGGCCCTTGCACCTCTCCTGCAGGTACCCCCTTGTCTCTGCCCCCACCTTGTCTCAGCTGTTGGCAGCAGAGAGGAGAACTCCTCTGCCAAATCCTGCACCTCTCAGTGCAGCTGCAGCACCCACTCTTCTCTGCCCTGGTCTCAGCATTCAGCAGACTCTGGTAACTGACTCCACTCCTCATCTGGTCCTATTCTAGACCCTTCACTGTCTACTTTCCAGCTCTGCCCAAAATGGGGGTGCATGGTGATCTTAGGGAGGGTGTGGGAGTCTTGACATCTGATGTAATGGGGAGTGGGGTGCTCTGGACATCTAGTCTTACAGACAGAGCTGGCCTTTTGAGGGTAACCGTAATGCTGATAAGACCCGCGATGAAATGGAGTTTGACACCCCTGTTCTACATGTTTCTGCAAATATGAATCATCAAAAAAGGTGGTATAGTACTGCTGAATACCTTGTATTGTATTCTACACTACTGCTTATCTTGCAACTTTAAAGTTGCTGATCCCAATGCCCTAATTTGAAGTCTTTTAAATAATGTAGAAAATATGTGCATTTTTTAAACACCTTACCTTATTTAATATTTTTAGGCAAAGCTGAATGACGAGCAATAGCATTTCTTTCATTACAGGTTTCCTTAAAAAGGCCTATTAATTTAAATGTCCTTCTTTATCCTGGTAATGCCAAGACACAAGCTTTCGAATACAGAATTATATTGAGGAAAACACCTTTATAGACCCTTATAATGAGCATTGAGCATGCCTCCTAGACTAGCTCATGATTAGTGGCAAAGATGAGAAAAGAGCATGTATTGGGAGGAAGGGTGTGCACCTTATTCTGTGTAACACTGGAAAGCATTGTTGCCTTCCTGCAATGTGTTCTCCTTTGCTTTAGTTACTTGCCGATAGGTCATGTCCCATATAGAAATTACACTGGTGCTGCTGGCAGTGTATCAACTAAAGCTTGCCATACATTGTTAGTTTTATGCTCATTCATCCAGTGGACTCAATCTACACAAACCTGCAGCTGTCAGAATACACTGATTAGTGGCAGCAGCCAATTGGTTGCAGCAGCTGATCGAGAAAATTTTTCCATATCTATTCAAACAAAGTCAATCAAATTGACTTCTGTTGAGCAGGGAGTGCCACACACTGATTGAAATTTGCTTGGTCCCTGATGAACCAGACGAATTTTGATCAGTGCATGACCAGCATAAGCAACATGGCAGATATGTTTAATTTTTATTGCACTTATTATTGAAAGTGTATCTATACACACAACTTGATTTGTTAGTTGTGGTTAGAATAAGGAAGGGAAGAGTTAAAACACTTTTTGCTACCTCCTGGTTTGGCTTTTATTCATATCCTGGAGACACAACAGGAAGTGATAGGAAATCTTCCCAAGAGGAGGAGGAATACAGACATTGTCAGCTGTCACCACAACATGTATCCTGACTGGAAGATTCTTGTATTGGTGAAAGCTGGATCACCCATTACTTTCTATCCTGGTCACAGTGGTCATAAGGACAAACAGAAAGGGTCACTCTTCTTAGTGGACTCCCAAAAACAGTAGCTACCTTGCAGGCTTTAATCCTTCTTCATTCTGCCCAAAGTCTAAAAAGGTTTGCTTTAGATACACTGTAATATGTTTAGCTTTCATCATAAAAAGGATGCTGGATAGGTAGATCACAAAAGTAAGTCACATGAAAGAGAAATTCCATTCATTGCTATGCTGTTCATTCACAAGGGATGGTATCACAGATGGTATGGGGGTCTTCATCCTTCAGTTTTACACCTGGGTTATTGGAAATTGAAGTGATCATTGGGTTATGTAAGAAACACTTTGTAGGTGTTTTTGAAGTTTTATGAACTCTGCAATAAAAGTGGTAAGAATTCTTATGCATTTCTAGGTAAACTTTGCATTGATGTGAATTATTAATTTTGGTTACAGCTAGCACTAAGAGGACCTTCTGGTCCAATGGGCCTCACAGGAAGACCAGGACCAATGGTGAGAATATACACCCTTGTGACCTTGTTATATGTTTTGGTCATGGGACTCTGTGACTTACAACTGTGTCATTTCAGGGATCTCCAGGTCCTGCTGGATTAAAGGGGGACTCGGGTGATATAGGACCACAGGTGAAACATTTGTGTTTATTTATTATTATTAGAAGCTTAAGCTTATTTACTAAATATGGAGGTGGAAGGAGGGATGTTTATACACAATTCAGACCTTTAGCCCTGGTTGTCATGTTGCATGACAAGTCGCACCCTGTTGTCGGCAATGGAACCGTTCAAATTGTACTTTTGAAAGTACTTCCTGCACTACTCTTTGCAATGTTAGGTGTGACTTGCATAGACATATGTGCATGAAGTTGCACAGATGTCTTCCAAGTCACACTTGAAGTTTCACTCACATGCAAATTGAAATCATGCGACTTCAAGTTTAGTCGCACGACTTAAAAACAGGACTGGTTTCAACCCAAGCTTACAATGTTTGAATGTAGTGTTTGTCTTTTGTCTCTTAAAACGTATTACTGTTTTCCATGATTGCTGGTAAGTTGAACTTCTTATGCACCTCAGGGGTTTTAACAATGAGATCTCCTGAATAGTATGCTTGTTTCCCTCCAAATGCCATGGCCATTATAAATCAATTATAAATTTATAAACTAAAAGTTAGGGACAGAGACATAAATTACTGTGAGAAAATGTTATCATTAGTGGCAGGGGCATGGACAAAAACTACTGTTGGGGAATCTCACCATTCTAGGAGGATAAAAGACACACTGTAATGAAAAACCACCATTGTGGAGGGGGGCAGAAATGCAAACTTTTGCTGGGGAATCTCAGCATTAGGGAGGAGAGGAGGAGATGCAAACACTGGTAGGTAATCTCACCATTGTGAGAAGGGTAGAGACACAAACTTACAGAAAATTTTTGCCATTTTGGGTAGGGCAAAGATGCAGACCACTGCGGGAAAGTCTAACTATTGTGGGAAGAGTGAAGGCACAAACTGCTGGTGGGAAAGCTCACCATTGTAGAACCAGTAGAGATGCAGACTATCAAGGGGAAATTTTACCATTGAGGATGGGGCAAATCCAACCATTAGGGAACGGGTGTAGACTGAAACTACTGCAGGGAAATATCCCCATTGTATGATGGATGTTGACTCAAAGCGCTATTGGGAAATCCAGTCTGAGGCCCACAAGGAAGCAGGCAGGTGATTCAACCCTAGTCCATACTAAAGAATTAGTTTGCTCTGGAGTTGGTCTATAATGCTATGCAGCTACTGTCCACACTTTTGTCAGCTGTAAGGTCTGACAGGCTGTGGCCTGTGCATATATATATATATATATATATATATATATATATATATATATATATTATGATTATATTTTTATTTTCTTTATTTCTATAGGGTCCTCGTGGCACTCAAGGTACCCCAGGTCCATCAGGGAAGCCTGGACGAAGGGTAAGTGTGCAGATTCTACACAGCAGCCTCATCAATGGCTCAATCCCAGTCTGCCTTGTTTGTGTTGGAATGTGTCTGATGTTGTCCATAGATTATCAGTGTATGGTTAAGATTCTGTTTAGCATGTAAGTACTGTATGACCAACGTCTCAATAAATTGACATCTGTAATAATCTCATATTTTATTGTATGTTTTGGTGGCTGAAGACAATCTTTCAGTAAAATGTTTAGCAGGGCATTTCATTTTTTTTTTTTTTTTGTCAGTATCCAAAAGATCAATCATAAAATTTCCCAGACTGACACCCATGTTTTTGCACCTTTCAGGGTCGGGCAGGCAGTGATGGTGCTCGTGGGATGCCTGGACAAACTGGACCCAAGGTATGGCTTATCAGGCATGATGGATCTAACAAAGTGACTTTTAAAGTGCTTATGTTTAATGCTAAATTAAAATAATTTAATCTTTCAGGGTGACAGAGGATTTGACGGTCTGGCTGGTTTACCTGGAGAGAAGGGGCACCGTGTAAGTTTATTTTATTCCTACAAAAACATTTTCTAGTGCATAATGCTGGTAATCAGGGGCTTAATATGTAATTGTTGACTACTGACAGGGTGAACCAGGCCCATCTGGACCTCCAGGACCACCAGGAGAGGATGGAGAGAGGGTAAGCTGTTACTGTGTTGTCATGATTCATCCATTCCCTATTTGTAGAAGAATTACCACTTAATGCCTAATGTATATGTGTCTTTACTAAGAACTATAGTTATTTCTACATGCTCACCAATAAGACAGGTTTGAATCTAGTGGCCTACGAGAAGAACCTCCATTTCTTTGTCTGTTACAGCTCAGGGCTAGATACACCTATGGCGACCCATTCTCCTGTTGGGCATGCTTTTCTAACTTGGTGCCTATTGACAATCCACTTGCCCTGGAGTTGGAAGGGTAACCCAGAGGGCTAATACCTGCAAAAAGAACATAGAGAACTGCCATTCCAAAGAAACAATGTGTTCATCAGGAGCTTTGAAAATGAACTTTTGAAACTGATGGATAGAAAATGATAAAGGCAACAGAAAGCAAATATTACCCAGCTGTCCCTCTATACAGCGGTGAGAATATTGGCTGACCTGTAAAGAGCAGATGAGTGCTGAATCCCAGAAAATATGATGATGAACATTTATTAGTTCTGGGTGATGAGACTGACCTGCTATGCCAGGATTACACAACAGATAAATGTAACATATCTCTCTTTCTATAGGGTGATGATGGAGAAGTCGGGCCCAGAGGATTGCCTGGTGAACCTGTAAGTGTTTCAGTTTGTACGATCAAAGAATATCTTCAGAATGTTCTGGGAATGGATGTAGTCAATTAGCAGTTCATATATATATATATATATATATATATATATATATATATATATATATATATATATATATTGTATAAGTGCATTTAAGGGTTACCCAAGGTGCAATCCCCACCCCAACCTTTTTCCAGTTGTTACACAAGTAGGAAAAGTAAAAACCTTCCATGTAACCTGAGATTATCACCTTGTGTGTAATGTTTAAAAAATACTTTTGTTGAATTAGGTTGAATTGTAAACCCAGAGTAACAATTTTCATCATTGCTCATATGATTCCTATAGCTATAACTCCCAAATTGGCCTCCCACAATTTGTCTCCCATGCCATAAAACCAAAAATCGTGGATATTTTATTTCTCATAATTATGATACAGTAGCTTTTTATGATCTATATTTGTGTGAAGTATGTCTGATGCAAAATTCTTACCAGCAAATTACCTAACACAGAAGGTTGTTTCTATTCTGCCTTCCTTTCTTACATGGCACAGCTAAGGTGAGATTAACATAGGTTAGAGTAGGATATACTACTCTGGAGGTACCTTGGTTATACACAACCATTTTAATTACACTGTAGGACAGAACAGAGCTAACTAAACTTTCACATGCTTACATGCTTACTGTTCTATGATCAAATGACCGACATATTTGCAAATGCAATTAAGAGAAAGGAACAGTAAAGCATAACCACTGTGCTGAACCACTAAGAGCAAGGCAAGTCTTTCATATTTAATAGGTAAATGTACAATTATGATAACAAACATGAACATTCTATAACAAGTCTATTCTCATTAAGCTGATAAAATTTTCTATAAATCTTTAAAAAAAAAAAAACTTAAAGATAACATTGTTTACCTTTTACACGTCCTTGCAAAAGCCAAGGTTACCACTATATTACCAATGCACTGACTACATCTAATATCGCACCTGTTCAATACCACTGATTGTAAACAGATTTCATCAGGGCATATAGAGTAAGATTATTAAGAGCTAATGGAGTCAGATCAGTGAAATCAGGGAGAGGATTCATAGGGCACATCTGCCTCAGAGACCTTCACATTTTTGTAGATGACAGCTGATGTGCTGAGAAGACTGGAAAGAGCACTGGAGCAGCACTTCTCTGAGTTGAAGCAGACTCTGAAGTAGAAAGAGGAGGTAAGAAGGCGCTTCTAAGTGCAGCATATCTGGATATATCAGGATATACTGCACTTAGAAACACCTTCTTGCCTCCTTCACTTCCTAGATCAGTGAAATCACCCACTGTTTAGTATACATAAATGCATGGGCCAAACTGGTGACAGATTTTCACAGTTTTTTTTGTGTTTTACAGGGACCACGAGGACTACTGGGACCAAAAGGGCCTCCAGGCCCCCCTGGACCTCATGTAAGTTTGCTTACCAGGCGACAGAACTGAGGAAGGGCAGACTGTGTGCGTTACACATTCCATGCTACTGTATCTGCAGTAATCCATCTTCCCTATCATTCCGTACATAGCGGCACAGCAGCAGCGACGTTTATTATGCCCAAACCAGGGAATTGCTGTACAATTTCTGCCCATATTAAAGTGTTGTGACTAGTAGCAGCACAAGCTGGTGATCGGAGCCCCACAAACACATTTGTTATGCTGATAGTGTTGAAGAGAAAATAAGCATTTGGAGCTTTGGGCTCTGCAGTGTTGTTTAATAAGTGTATACAAAGAATTCTTATCCCATCAGACTGTTCATGCACATCCGGGTTTCTTCCTGCTGGGATGACAGCTCCGATACAAGCATCCTTCTGTGCATCTGAATGATGAAAACTGCAGCAAAGAACTGTCCAGCTGTTGTTCGTGTTCTTTGTGAGAATAAAACGTAAACCTGATTGGTTGTACTAGAAAAAGCCTCTGGTTTTGCCCTACTTTTGATAAGAATGTGCATAGGAGGCCTAAAAAATGAATTTTCTGAGATGCTTATTAAAATGACAAAGCTTAACAACAAACACTTCTATAAATTGGATGCTGTCATTGCATGCAGAGATGTTGTACGTTTAACATGAAACATTTTCAAAGTGACCACTAGCGCATCGTTCAATTTCCATAGGCTAGCTGCATTCTATAATAATGTGGACTGAGGGTTGTTACAGAGCCTGCATAATTACTGTCTCAGCCGCTGATTAAGCCACCTATTGAAATAAATTAGAACATGTGGCTGTATGCGGTCGAGCGCCTAGGGGTTGCATGAAGCACACACACGAGAGTATGTTCCAAATGCTAACAGTTTGCGTTCTGAGCATATGTCCGTGTGTGCTCAGGTGCGTTACGCAACCCAGGGCTCAAAACCGCATGCAAAGGCACCTTCTAATTCATCTCAATGGGCAGCTGAACATGGTGGCTGCGGGCCCCGGAAGTGTAGTTACACAGTTGCTGCATGCTCCCTGTATTGCAGTCTACATAAAGCATAAACAGAAAACTGTCACTATGCCGCTGTTTTTGATTTCTTTCTGATAATGCTGGTTTTTTTGCTGTCCTTATTTTTTTACTACAATACCTTACGAACAATAGGAAATCTAAAATGTTACAGCAGTCACTACAAGAGGAGGTGAGGGAAAGCTTCTAATGGGATGTCTGTATAGTGAGCACTATCTAAAAGACATTTTCCCTCACTATGTAAGGATTTTCCCTCACTTCCTGCTCTCCAGGACAGGATTGGGAAGAATGCTTCCCAAAGGGAACCTGACAGGAGTTTTATCCATTCCTCACTCTATCCATAAACTTAAAAATATTTTGGCTAAAGATATATGTTTTCATTACTGAATTTCAGTTTCCATGTTTTTTAGAGTTATGGTGAATCCAAACTGCAGCTACACTGGCAAATATAGCAGATTTTTACAGGCACTATATACTAAACATGAAATGTCATAATCTGTAGGTTTTGTGTGACATTGTTACTGAATCTGAAGTTATGTCATCACTTTTTTCCAGGGTGTGCCAGGAATGGATGGACCAGTTGGCCCCAAGGGCAGTGTGGTAAGTGTCGTATGGCTATGATATCATCTTGGGAGATGATGAAATACACAATAATACTGAAGATTCACTGACTTAGAAACCTTTTTACAGAGCGCTGGTCTGCAAGGCCGAAGGTTGGGTGACTGTGATGGGGGGCAGGTACAATGGGCAGAGACAATAATGAGCATAGTCTATATAAATGTGTATAACATGCAGGAAAAAGAGCAAAATAGATTTATATATAATAGATTATATTTTTTGTTAGAAAATGTTCCAGTACAAAAGTTTTCATAAAATATCTGCGCTTCAAAGAAATAATCAGAAGACGTTTGTGGTTTTCTGTGGTGTTGTAGACATATTAATGATGATTGTTTATGATGACCTTTGTCCCATATTCATTCAGGGACCTCAAGGTGAACCAGGACCACCAGGCCAGCAGGGAAACCCAGGTGCACAGGTGAGTCTAATCTTCATTTTTTTTTTCAAATTTTTTTTATTGGAAATTTTTCAATGTTACACACAAAGTAGCAGTACAAAATCAACAGGAAATTAAAACAAAAAACAAATACCCAAAATCATACAAAAAAGCAGCCCCAGCCATTTAAATTAAACAATGCCTGTCATGTAGCAAGAACAAGCAGCACAAAAAATAAGAAATAATCCCATGACCTGTTAAGTGCAATCCTCACTTAATGCATACCCTGCCCTCCACAACCCATCAATACATAAAGATAGTAAAATGGCTTAAAAAAGGCAACTATTTCAATGATTTACAGAGAACACCATATATCAGGAAAGGGTCCACGGACCCCACTATCAACCCAGCATCCCAAAGCAGAATATACAAAAACGAGTGGGTGAAATCATACAATGTTGTTTCTAGGAATTGTTAAAGATGTTTCCTCCAATCTGAGACCGTAGTGGTAGAGGAGAGCCACCCACCCCACACTTTATTTCATTAACTGAATGATTTGCTATTGGCATAGGTAGCCTTGTACAGGGGGACAACCTTATTAACCAGAGACTTCCAGGCCACTAATGTTGGTGCTGATGTTTTCTTCCATGATAGGGCTATCAGTTTCATAGCATAGAACAATAGCAGTGTGCGTATCACATTTGTAGAGGCCAGAGAATCTACCAAATCAAGAGACATACC